CATGAGTGATTCTGTCTTCCACCAGTTTGAAATATATGCGTGTTAATTCAGTCATTGATGATTCTGACTTGCGTAGACTCGACCTTACTGAATTGCCTAATATGGCTGGTTCCTCATTTCCAAAAGTTGAAATGTATGTTTGAATTTTATTCCGTCAATTCCAACATGTGTGACATATAAGCATAAAATATTTCAGCAAGAAATTTTAACTCTTGAGTCCTTCTTACATAGGTACAATTCATCATAGGCATTCTTTCTTCAGGCAAAAATTGATAAGGCATATAATTTTTTAAGCATTTAAGTACAAATATGATTTCATTCTCGTCTGAACGCCAAAACCTTGAAAATTTGGAATCACGAGTCGCAATTTATAACTTATAGTGCAGAACTTTTTGAGCATGGTGATTGGTGAAATGGCGCGCTAATAAGATTTTAAAATTATTAATCAATAAGCCACGTTTATTTTGCTCCAATGGAATTTTGAGTAAATTTGTAAGGCAGCAACCCGCGTCAAAGCGGTGATCGGCGGCGCTGCAAGCCTTACAGGTTGCGTCAGATTTGCCTTGTTTTTTTTTCTATTATTTATTTGCAGAATCTTAAAAGATAATATACCGACTGCCATTAAAATTTGTATTTTTCAACAAATCCGCGGTCAAAATATGCGCAGTTTTATTACTTCCTCGGCTCCTCTATGCGAATTTTCAACTTTTCCTCCTCCGTTTTCACGAGTGACGAAATTCGCACAGGCGTTTGTTTTCCTGGCGTTCCTGACACCAACTTTCATCAAAACCGGGGTGTCTCATCTCAAAGCCATTACTTGTTAGAAATGCATGCGAAGAGCAATAATCGGCCATCCAATAAAACAGATGACCTGATGAGCCGGAATTAGCGCACCAAGCGAAAGTCTTTCTTCGGAGTTAGGTTTGCTGGTTGCAAATTAGCTTTTTGTGAAAGTCCCTAAATATTTTTTTTATTGTTAGAATGCAGACCTCTCGCACTCGTGGTAAATAAATTGAATGACTTAATTGATGATTATTACTATTCTGAGGTCACCGAAATTAGTTTTGACCTTTTTCGAAAGTCATTGAAATTTTAAATTAGATCAGAGCTACATAAATCACTTCATAGAGTCTGCAGCCACTGAAACCATTACATTTGAGGGGAAAAGTTTAATGATAAATTAAAATGGTAAAAAATATATTTCATCAAAATGCATTGAATCCCGTCAGCCGTTTGGTAAAAAAGGAACTTGAAATTAAGTTGTTGGAACTTCCTCCCTCAGAATTGCCCGCCGCAGCAAAGAAAAGTGAAATCGATGGTTAATCCTCCAAAACAATGTAAATGAATTAAATTTTTAAAAATAAAAGTCTGAAAACTTTAAAATTGATCTTAAGATAAAGAAAAATTTTTTAATATTTTCTTTTGACATTCCCATAGCTTGCAAATAATATCGCAGCAGTTGAAAGTAGTAAAATGTTCAAAGACACCTCTCCATCATGTGAAAAAAGAGACACAACTGAAATGGGATTTTGAATTTCAGATCCACCAAGATGAGGCCGGAGTTGTACAAATGGCCTGTGATTTGTGAGCTCAACAGGAACTACAGTTACCAGCCTACGTATGCTGGGCACTCGTTCCTATACCACAACAATATATTGGATCCAAACGACCCTAAAATAAATTATCTGAAGGTCTTCAGGTGCACTAAATATCAAAGAGGTATAAAATATCACTTAGCACTATTTTTTTTTTAAAGGGACCTACTTTTGGCATGGGGTCAGCGGACCTTGTTGAAAATTTGTAGTTTGGTTGCGCTTAGGGTGTATACAAATAGTTATGAAGGATTTTTGAAAAATCTCAAAATTGCCTATTTTACAGGGGCTTAAAGTTTGGGGATTTAAAAAAAAGGTGTTTTCGAAAATAAAAAATATCTCTGCTCCTGTTGCAGATAGCGCATGTGTGAAATAAGCTAAGTTGTAGGGAATTAGCCGGCCTAACACTTTGACACGGTGACCAAGGTCATAGGTCAAAGTTCAGGGTCAACTTTTTGAGCTTGAATTTTTTGATACGCCACCAAAGTACCTAGTGCATAAAATTTTTTGATACCATAATAGCCAAACGTTGCTCTAGTTGGTAGTCAACAACATATCAAAAATTGGTGAGACTGTTTTTTTTTCGTTTTCGAGATATTTGGGGTCGAATGGCAAAAAACGTGGTTTTCCGAGCATTGTCCAACACAAACCAACATTTAACCGCCCGTATCTTTGTTCCTGTTAAGGTTACGCAAAATGTGTAATGACAAAAAATGATCGCCGTGACTTGTACTTTCAAACCATGTATTGCACATAGTGGTCAAGTCACAAAAGGTCATTGACCTCGGTGACCTGTGACCTTCCCAAAATATTTTTGTACATTTTAACACATTAATAGAAAGGAAACATTATTTAAAATATTTAAGCATCTGACATTGTGTTTTAAACTTAAGTAAAGGTCACAGGTCATCGAGGTCAATGACCTTTTGTGACCAGGCCACCATATGCAATACATAGTTCAAAAGTAAAAGTAATGGCGATCATTTTGTCATTACAAATTTTTGCGTAACCTTAACAGGAACAAAATTACGGGCGGTTAAATGTTGGTTTGTGTTGGACAATGCTCGGAAAACCACGTTTTTTGCCATTCGACCCGAAATATCTTGAAAACGAAAAAAAAACAGTCTCACCAATTTTTAATATGTTGTTGATTACCAACTAGAGCAACGTTTGGCTATTATGGTATCAAAAAAATTTATGTACTAGGTACTTTGGTGGCGTATCAAAAAATTCAAGCTCAAAAAGTTGACCCTGAACTTTGACCTATGACCTTGGTCACCGTGTCAAAGTGTTAGGGCGTCTGTAAAATAGGTAATTTTGAGATTTTTCAAAAATCCTTCTAAACTATTTGTCTACTCCCTAAGCGAAACCAAACTACCAATTTTCAACAAGATCCGCCGACCCCATGCCAAAAGTGGGTCCTTTTTAAAAAAAAAAATAATGACCACTTATTTTCATTACTTGTTGTAACAACTTTTGATTCTTACAGCTGGCTGCACTGCATACGTCAAAACAGATTTTGATATGACACAGTACAAAGAGGACCCAGCAACCACAGCTATCCACACGTGCCTCCAAGAACAAGTCGCTTCGGAAGAAACTCAGGCTGAAAGAGAAAAGAAACTGGCGGCTACAAACAATGAAAACTAGTTGGCGCAGAAGAAGGAACCCTGACTTTGATTCGGACGAGTGCCCCAAAAAGATGGCCAATCTGGACAACTAGTAAGGAGTGGATCTTGTTATTATATTTATGTGTTTGTAAATCATATTCAAGCATTATTTATTTTGGGCCATAAATTTCAATACAAATAGCTAGACTTAGTTGTAAATTTGAAGGACGCAACGACTAAGGCAACCACCAAACTATAACTGAATCCCTCTTGTAATGAATAAATTGTTCTTTAAGCTGTGCCTGGTAAATATGCTTGCCAATTTTAGCCCTATCAAACTTTATGAAAATAAAAACTTTTATAGTGTAAGAGGTAGCAATATTTGACTTTTTGGTAAATACTAAAATGATACAAGCACTTTATTTGTCCTATTCTGATGTTTTGTGGGAAAAAAATGCTGCTTTAGATCATCATTCTTTTAAATGAAGCAGAATAATTAGACAAGATATATTTTTTTTTTCAGATGGTTCTTTTTCAAATGTTTACAAAATCAAAAAAAAAAAAAAAAAAACAAGGTGCCTTTCTATCTAAGTAGTAATAATAATTATTTATTCAGTAATTTCTTTCACTTTAATTTAAAACCCAAATCAATTTCGTACGACAAACAGCAGATTTTTCTCCTTCAGTTATCCAAATGAGACTTGGACCGCAATGAAAATGTTTTCACTAGAAACTAAATTAACAAAGAAATTTATTAGTTTCTTGGAGGCAATGCAGCCTTGCTGTGAGCTTGCATGTATGTACCGGCTTTTTTTAAACTTGCAGTTTGATTACAAATTCGATGGAGTTATTTCTGGAATTACAGGTTAAGACTTTTGAAGTGATAATTTAGTAATAACAATGGCAAATGTGCCACTAATTCGTTCTTGATGTTTATTTGGAATTCTTTTTTACAAAATTGCAGCTGATAAAATCATTGAAGCCTTTTTTCAATGAATTAGATGCAAGTTATATAATTACGACCTAAATATTATTCTGATTATTTCAAACGTAAATTTTTTATTATTATCATTATGTTAATTGCGTCTTTGAGCCTCGTATCTCAAATACAATGGCAACCTGCCGCGCGTCTGAGAGCAGCGGGTTGCCTACGTTCGTTTTTGTAGGCGCTTATTTGTCGTAGAAATTTCCAAAAATTTGTTCTAACTATTTTACAACCAACATTTAGTCACCTAATACTGAAAAGAATTTAAAAATTGTCGAATAATTTTTAATTTACTTAAAAATGGCGTTTAGCATCCATTGTTGTGTTTGAAACAAACGTTTATCGGCAACAATTAGAGTTGAAATTTCAATTTAAATAGATTCATTGTTGTTTGCAAAGATTTTTAGAGTCAAGAATTTTCATTTTTCTCTCCCAAATTCATCAAGCCAAATTCTAGAAATGAATCCTGAGATAGTGTTTTTGTTGCCTAAATTTGCCACTCAGCGAGAGATGGATGCGATACGGCGTGCTGACCCTGATGAGATCGCCATGTTCGAACGGCACCTGCTTAATGAGATGCTATTTGAAAACGGAGCTACTTTCAATTACAACGAGCGTAGGTTTTTTTTTTTTAATTTTATTGTATGTTTCAAAACGTATTATACCGATTATACTTTTTAAGTTCCTACTTGCATAGATAAAGATGCATATTTTTGTTATATCCTTTAGTCCTTTATTTGAAAATGATCGAACGTTGAAAGAATGTAAAGAAGGTGCTAATTAGAATAATCTCTTTTCCTACCTCAGCTCACATGGCAAAGGTAGACAAAATTGTCCAGATGGCACAGAGGTGCACGAAGATCGAAGTCTTCAGTCCAGAGAAAAACGAGGGTCCATCCAAAGTATGCGGGTTCAGCCCCAGCCTGCAAGTCTGTCTGGCTGGAGGATTTTTCGAAGGACTGCCGTTCGACGCTCTTTTTTCTTTCTTGTATTTGAATGGAGCTGATGTCTCCCCTGGCGAAGGTAAACATTCGTGAGATTATTTTATTATTAATATCAAAATTATGCAAAATAACTTGAATTAAATCCGAATCGCTCGATCAAAATAATTAAAAATCCAACATTCATTTGAAAAAATTCACAATTTCGATTTTAGTCTAATGAAATTTGTCCACTTCAGAATTCAGGCATAGAAATCATCACTGAAGAGGACCTTTAAACATTTTGCTTTAAAATTTCAGACCTGACCAGTTTGCTTCTGAAGTCGCGCAAGCTGTTTAGCCAAGGGAGAACTCGGCTCCCTTGCCTTGACGAAGATAAGAAAAGGAAAGAGTCTCTTCTGCAGTTGACTGAACAGCTGGAGATTGCCGTGAAGAAGGTAGACCACCGAGGAGAAGTACTAGACAACTTTGACGTGAAGCGCGAGGAGAATGAGACTTTGATGCAAGAGTTGCGCGCCACCGACCACAACAACAGGTCTGTGGCTGGACAGATCCGGAAGAGGAAGCGCCATCTACAGGAGAGAGAAAAGATCATCCAAGTCAGGGAAGAAGATTGTGATCTTTGGGAAGAGTCTGTGAAAAGTTTAGAGGCACAGGCCCTTGACGAGAGCATTTCTGCAGAGTCGACAGTGTCAGCCGCCAGCGATATTGAGAAGACCCAGATAGTTGAGAGTAAGGCAAAGCGCTGGAGTGTTTGGCCTTTCTGATACAAATTAAACCACGCCCGTTTTTAAATTAGCACAAATTATATTGTATTTTTATTATTTTGATTGAGTTTTCTGGCTCCCTAATTGCAGAGGGTTCAACCCAGGGTCTTTTTGGGGTTTCAATTGATTTTACGTATTACTTGGAAGATGATATTTAATTTAATATTATAAAATGAAAATTTCGTGAAAAAAAATATGACAATTTATATTTCAATCAATTGGCGTCGAGTCCAGCTTGCGCTACTTGAAGGGCGGCGTCGTCTTGCCAGCACCGGCAACCGCCCATTTTGCATTGCCACTGGCGCCACCACACTTGAGGGGGGTTTGAAGACAGGCGCCTTTTTGAGGACCGACCCCTTTTTACTCTTTTTTTATATGCCCGTGCTATCCACGCTGCCCCCACTTTGGTGCGGGCCACTTAATCCAGGCAACAGTCTTCCTAGAAGTCTAGTAGTGGACACTCGCAGAGGACGCCGTCCTTTGACTACTTCTTGCCAAAGCCGTTTTAGCACTCACAAATGCGCGGTGATGACCGCAGACATTCGGTTGCTAAAACAGAAGAATTGTACTTTTCAATCAAAGCTAGCTGTATATTTGAAATATCTGTTAAATTTAACAAAATTTATAGATTTAACAGATGAAAACTTTGCTCAGAAAAATAGTGAAATGCGGCATGTGGCGGCATGTAAAATGATACAATAAATATTTTGTAACATTATCTTACCCCATTTTTTTAAATTCATAAAACGGTAAAAAAAGTCTATTTTAGTTGATTAAAACAGTAAAAAAAAAAAAAAAATTTTTTTGCCAAATTGATATATAGATTCTTTAGATTTGGAAAAATGATCAAAATAAAGGGAATAATCTCAAAATCTTGTTCTTTTGACTCAGCTAAGACTATAATTAAGGCTACTTTAAGTTCAATAGTTTTGCGCCTTTTTTGCCTTTGATGGATCTACTGCAGCAGCGCAATGGACGGCGCGCGCCTATGGGAATCAATAACTACCAACAAAATTAATTCATTCTTCCGATCTTTTGTGCTACCTAAGGAGCATAAATATTATGTTCTCAATCCTGGTCTTTTGATTTACAAAAATAGATAAGACTAATTAAAGTCCAGATTAGTGGTCAGTAGTAAGTGCGCTTTCACTGTTGAAAAGGATCATATTTTGCAGATTGCAGTTCAGAAAAGCTACGAAATTTAAAGAGGATGAAAACATTACAAAATTGTTTGAGGAAGTTACACAGAGTTCAGAGTTTTGTCTATATATAGGGAAAGGAGAATTATAATTGTATCAAACTGTAGTTGTTGTAATTTTATTGAAGGAAAGATTTTATGAAAGAAAAGCATGAGAGATTTTATATTTTGAATGTTTTTTTTTTGTAATTTTGTAAGATTCAATAATATGGCTCACAAATGCGAGACTTCAAATAAAGCCGTGTGTGCGTGTTTTTAAAAAAATTGTACCAATACATATAATTATACCGGTATAAGAATAATTAAATGTGCGATGGTGAGAATTATACAAGCTCACCTCCAACACTTGTCGGCACTGTCGGTCTCGGTCAGCGAAATAATTTCAATCGACTCTTGGCGATGATAAATTGATGATAATAAAGATAAAAAAAAAATAAAATAAACAAATACCCAAATAATATAAGATTGGAGCTTGCCTTCCGCAAGCTCAATAAGGGCACAGGCCGACAAGACACTTTGTCTTGGCCTGACCCAAAAAAAAAAACAAAAAAAAAATATAAATAAATGCGCAGTGAGATAAATGCGGCTGATTGATACGCAAGCACACGCAGATCTTGTTGCCACCGACGAGTTGAACAATAATTCGCTGTGGCAAGTAGTTCCGCTCTTCGTCAACAGATGATGTTGGTGACGTCAGCAGCAACATGGCGGCCAAAACAGAACGTAAACACGGCCTAGACGAGGATTTCGCTGCCCGTAAGTGTCAATTTGTCCCTTTCTGACACCGAAATTGTCAAGAATCGGCCCGGTAGCATGAATTTAGGCGATTCCGATTCGCGATTACTGGTTTTATGGAGAGAATCAGCGCCGAAACGGTGTCCTTATGCGACACTTTGGTGACGGGCCGCGATTTTCCCACGACCTCCTCGGCCGACGAACTTTGCTCGACCCATTTTTGCCAATTTATCAAAATAATTCTCAAAATTCATCAATTTCGCCATTTAAAAAATTGTGAGCTTTATTCAGTAAAAAATTAAGTTCATTGCCAAAACCGTTCTTAATTTTTTCCATTTTTTGCAAACAAAGGTAAAATTTTCGTTTTTTAATACATAATTTTTATTCACCATTCACGAAAGTCACGTTCTGACGCTGGAGTGGTAGATTTTCAAGAGGTTCCAAAGGAGCAGCTTGATTAGAGATTTGATAAATCGCCACACATGTTGAGTCGGTGACGTCAGGCCGCCGAAATTTGGCTCTTTGCCGCGAACCGAAATACTCTCCCGATCGGGCCTTCGAGCCGGTGGAGCAAAAAATTTGCAAATAATTGTCCCTCTCCAAGGTCTCTTCCAGCCAATTGTGAGTTTCTTGCCCCGAAAGCGCGGTTTCTTCTGCGGTCAATTTAGTAATTCAGCGTCTTTAATCCTTTTTCATTCACAGGCCTCTGACATTTTAACCCTTGCACGATTAAGCAATCGAGCTAATTATTAAATGAAACACCTACTGCCACTTCTATTCTAAACGACCTCTATTAAAAATAAAATCTCAAACGATTTTGCTCATTTACAAAAACCAAATCCAATTGTCTCGAGTTAAAAAATTGATATTTTTGCGGCTTCTCGTCTGACAATGATCAAACGTAATTGAGCTGTCACCTTGAAAGTGACGTCACTCGCGTGTGAAAAACTCCCTATTTCGCCCGCCACCTGACTTTCTTTTACTGAAATGTAGAATGTTTGTGTTTTGCAGGCAATATGGACGAGACGGCGGCTGAGGGAGGCGCTCAGGGCATTGCCAGGGCCGTGCAGGTGGTGCTGGCCAAGGAGGACCACACGTTTGAGCTGGACGAGCAGGCCCTCGAGGACATTTTGATGCAGGACCATGTCAAAGACCGGCATGTGGTGGTCGTCTCTGTGGCCGGCGCCTTCCGCAAGGGAAAATCCTTCCTGCTGGATTTCTTCCTGAGATACATGAATGCGCAGGTGACCACCTTCTCCGATCGCCAATCTGACCTCAGAAATGCCTCCAGATGACCTAATAACCTATAAATTGACACCCAACAGGATGATAGTCACTTAAGAAAAATAACAACCTTTGCTAGGGTGGCCGAAGATACCTTCAGGGTCGTAATTTGATCTTCAAGAAAACTTGGCATGTTTGGTGTCGAAATATAGGTTTTGAAGGTCGCTGATTCCAAATCTGGAGTTATTTTAATGATTATATGAGTAAAATTATAAGTACATAAATTAAATAATTTTTTTTTGTAATCCGTTCTGTAACCATCCAAAATTAAATTAACACGCCCCAACATGTTTGATTTCCTCCCTTTGTGTTCACCCCAAAGTGCTTGCAGGGCGCTGAAGACTGGTTGGGCGAGGAGGAATCGCCTCTGGACGGATTTTCTTGGAGAGGAGGCTCAGAAAGAGACACCACTGGCATTCTCATGTGGTCTGAAGTCTTCCTTGTTGATCTCCCTTCGGGGGAAAAGGTTTGAAAAATCAAAAGTCCAATATCAGTTAATAATAATTTGCTTCTAGGTCGCTGTCATTTTGGTGGATACGCAAGGTGCTTTTGACAGTCAGAGCACGGTTCGGGACTGCGCCACCATTTTTGCCCTAAGCACCATGACCAGCTCGGTTCAGATCTACAATTTGTCTCAGAACATCCAGGAAGATGATCTTCAGCACTTGCAGGTCCGCCATTGTTAAAGTGTTGAAAAAATAAATTTACAATATTTGTTTAGCTTTTCACCGAGTACGGTCGACTGGCCTTGGAAGACTGCGGCGACAAACCTTTCCAAAAGCTGCAGTTTTTGATCAGAGACTGGAGTTTTCCTTATGAGGCTGACTATGGTTCCGATGGAGGGAAGAAGATCTTGGACCGCAGATTGCAGGTAGGACTTTTAGAACTTACAGGCAAAATGAAATTATTCACTATGCGCATTATCAGGTCTCGGAAAAGCAGCACCCTGAGCTGCAGTCGTTGCGGAGGCACATTAGGTCCTGCTTCTCGGACATATCTTGTTTCTTGATGCCCCACCCTGGCCTTCGAGTATCCACAAATCCCAATTTCGATGGCAGGCTCAAAGGTAGGCATCAAATTCTACAAAAAGTCAAAAGAATTTTGTTAATAAAATTTTATGTTTTGCAGACATAGAGACTGATTTTAAAAATCAGTTGAGTATTCTGGTGCCCCTGCTGCTGGCACCTGAAAATTTGGTCGTAAAAGAGATTAGTGGACAAAAAGTCAAGGCCAAGGAACTCGTTCAATACTTCAAGTCCTACATCCAGATCTATAAGGGCAGCGAGTTGCCAGAGCCCAAGTCCATGCTTGAGGTTTGTGCCCAAATAACTTTAAGAATGTGGCTACTAGCATATTTAAAAATTGAATTTCCTTAGTGTATCTAATTTCAAAGTATATTTAATTTAATCAAATCAATTGGATTCAAGATTGTGAATATTGTTAGAGTCAAAATTAATTGAAAGGGAAAATTTAATATTTTCTTTGAATTAATTCTACAACATTTAATAATTTCAGGCCACTGCAGAGGCAAACAACTTGGCTGCCGTGGCTGGTGCTAAGGAGATGTATCACACAATGATGGAGGGCGTCTGTGGAGGCGCCAAGCCTTTCCTGGGCACAGATCACCTTGACGCCGAACACCTGCGAATTAAGGAAAAGTCCATGGGTGTCTTCAAGAGCAAACGCAAGATGGGTGGCGACGAGTTTTCCGAAAGATACAGAGAAAAGTTGGAAGAGGTAAATGCATTTATAAGATGGGCATGTACAATAACCATAATTAAAATTGCAGGACATTGATGAGTTGTACGGCCAGTTCAAGTCACACAACGAAAGCAAAAACATTTTCAAAGCCGCGAGGACGCCGGCCGTCTTCTTTGTGATCGCAGTTGCCTTTTACATCTTGTCAGGAATCTTCGGCTTGGTCGGCCTCTACTCATTGGCAAACCTGTGCAACCTGATCATGGGCACTGCCCTGCTCACACTTGGCCTCTGGGCTTACGTCAGGTTGGTTTTTCTGTTTTTTGATCTACCGAAACATTCACTTCCTCTTTTTAGGTACTTGGTGCAAGGCTATGTGTTTATCCCTCCAGGCATGACCCTTGACTGATTTGCCCCTATGCTTATGATTTAAAAAAATAAAAGTTGTTGCCGTTGTCTTGAAATTAGTTTTTCCTATTTGCAGATATAGCGGTGAAATGAGAGAAATTGGCACGCAGATCGATGAACTAGCAAACGCGCTTTGGGAAAATGTGAGTGCCTCCGTTAAAATCCTAGTACCAATGTAGTCTACTGAAGTATTCCATTAATTTTTTAAAGTACAAATTCACAAATGAATATGTTATTAAAGTCAGATTAAACAGTGCAGAAATTCCATAACAGATTTTAAAAATGAATCTGTCAGACTATTTTGGTTTTAATTTAATAAAAAAGCATAGCTAAATATTTTAGAATTTATTGATATGAGCATTTGAATTATTCTATAGAGAGAAGACTAAATGAGAATCAGAATCCTAATTTTTAAGACACTATGAGAAAATAAGTTACACTAGATAAAATCAGGATGAAAAGTAAAATTGTTGAATTCTTGCAGTTTATGAAGCCGGTTTACGTTCAGTGCATGGAGACTGGGATACAACACGCGGCTCGGCAAGCAACACAGCAGCTCGCAGGCCCTGCCGAGTCAGGCAACCGAACCAGCGTCGCCACTGTGAGGACGGCGGTGAAAGCTCAAAAGCCCAATGGCAAGGTCAAGAATTCGTGATCCCTGCCATTTCTGATCTACCAATCACCAGTGCCTCTTTCGGAAAGATAGGATGTATAAAATTCAAAAGTCCGACTGCCTATTTTGTCCGGAGTTTTCTCTCTATCCCTGTCAGTCCCTGCCCCCATTCTTAATGATTAATTTATTACTTCTTCCTTTTTTAATATACTCTGCACTCTTGTTTTAATTTTAATTATGCGTAGGCAATTTTTTTTCCTTTTGTACGGCGTGTGTCAATCATCTTGTGGAGGTTTATTGTTAATTGTTTGCCATAATTGTCTTCCCCGATTGATCAGTCGAAGAAGTTGTCACAATTGTTGCTCACGGAGAAGTGCAAGTCGCTTACCTACCAGAAACTGCGAACCCAATTCAAAATGAATTAAAAAAAGTAAATAGAGCCCCTGAAAGGCTCGTTGACCAGTTCATCTTCCTTTCAAGTACCTTCAAAGAAATTCAGCGTGCCAATGTACAAAGAGAGGAGAAAGAATTAATTATTATATTGAAGGAAGCTTATTATATTAATTACGGAAATATTATATTTACACTGAGTACATTGAAGTGTGATTGTTATATATGCGAAGAGATTAATGATCAAACAACTACTTTCTCTCAGCAAACTGCTGGTCCCAAAGGTTTGATTCCTCAGGCAACGCCAATTGAATTGCAGCACTTGTTGCCAAGAAATTATTTTTGCATCGTCAAAAAAAAAAGGAAAAAGTATTTTGGATGGTCTTGGTGAACACAACCAGTTTTTGTATCACACACTCAATTCGCGCGAGTCTTATGTTTAAATTTAAATGTGGTGAAGTAAATCGCTAATACTTTAAGTCTTTTCCTTGTAATTGTTGAAATCTGCGGTTAATAAAATGTTTGTTAAAACAAAAATGATGAATTCTATGTTAACTTTCACGAAACTTTCTATAAAGTAAGGCTAAAAGTTATGGCTTATTTATAAATTTTAAAAAAAATGTAATATTTGTGATGTTTATTTACTAAATAAAGACAACATGTTACCGAATTATTTAATTAAAAGTTTCCTGCAATTTTGACAGGAAATGAAAGAAAATGAAAGTGCAGGCGCACAAAAACGGAAAAGCAGGAAACATGCAAAAAAAAAAAAATAATAAAGCTGCCACCAAAATAATACAGCGTGAAACGGCGGCTCGCTGACTGTAACTGTAAAACCGCCGCAGCAACAGCGATGAGCAGAGATAGAACAACAGACGGTGCGCGTTCGCCGAGGGGAATCAATGGGGGTCACGTGAACGGCGAACGCGTGCGCAGAGCCCGGCCGAGGATTAAGGACGGTGCTCGGCAGCAGCAGCAGCCAGCGCAGTGGAGCACACGAACAATCGGAGGCGCCTGCAATCCAAGTTGGAGGACGATTTTCGCGTCGGATGGACTCGGGCCCTTCGACCCTTGACCGGATGAGGACCGTCAAGGGGCCCAGCAGCTGAACACGGGCCGCCCAAGGCCCGCGGGCCGTCCTCAGGTAAACCAGAGCACTTGTTCCGATCGCTGCACTTCCGCTTCCGCACCTAATTTCAGATCAATTCTTTCACTCCTGAAATTTCCATTTTTTTAATATTCGGTCTTTGGAAGATTCCGAGTGACGTTTGGGGTCATTCAAGGGGCTTTCCAAGTGCCCAGGGCGCTCCGTTTCGGGGTCAGAGCCGAATTTGGGTCAGTATCGGCGGATAACGTGTTATTGACCCGCCGGTGCGCGCGATTTCCAACTTACACGCACCGCTCCGAGACCCTCCTCGGAATTTTCCCGACCCCTCTTTAATGTGTTCGATTATATTTCGTAAGGGTTTTTCCAATGGTTTGTCCCACGCACTCTGTTTTCGTCACCTTGGCGACGAGTGGAGGAGAAAAGACGTCTCTCTCGCTTATTCCCATACACACAACCTACTCTCTGTCACTTGTGACTTTTCTTCTTTTTTTTTATAACTTCTCTCTCTGCTTCTCACGCGCCACGGAATTCGACTCGCGGGCTGTGTTGCTGCCTGAATTAATTGGACATGCTCGGGCGCTCCTCTCTTGCACCACCATAGTGCACCTGCTGGAGAACCGAAACCGCACGACCAAATTCTCTTTCTAAGCCATGCGAAAATTTCAGAGGCAATTTGGCTGTCCATCTCTTTTTTATTAAATTCACACGAGATACTTGAATATAGATTTTAAACGCAGCAATTTGAGAGATAATTATATTTTGTTTAGGGAAATGATTGTCACTGATAAAAATTTTAAACTTAATATGTTAATTCAGAAAACTCAATTTGATTGATATGTAAAAGTTGTATACACTCTCTGTTATTGAACAATTTTTAAAAACCGCAGAAGTTACAAAAGAAATTTGATTACTCAAATCATCTTCGGCCATCATCTCCAAATATAAACGATTCGGTTGGAGAGTTTTTAGGATTTAATTCGTCTGCGTGGTGAAATTTATGACGATCAATTGCCTCGATCTGACTGAATTTATAGCTCTCAAAAAAAAATTTACGAGCAGCGCGCGCGTAGGCTCTCTTTTTCTCTCTTCGTCCTCTCAGTTTTTTTTTAAGTATAAAAAGTTTTCTCTTGAGACGCGAAACTCGATGCGCATGTGAAAATAATGTTTCATTTCGCGATCGCAGTTGCACGCGAATAAGCGAAACTCGATACTTGTGCTTGCACATATAATATAGGAGGTGCTCTTCGTGACTTTTACTCAATTTTGCTGTGGAATTAGAAAGCAAACAGGTTGATTTGCGCTGCGAGTTAGCGCGAGAAGAAGAGTTGGCTGGGCCTCTTTTCCTCCCACTCCTTCTGCGCGCCTCTTCTTCGCCCAAATCTATTCAAAACTCATTAACGTGAGCTCAAGGCACTCCGTTTGAAAATCTCCGCCTCGCTGCCCACCAGACTGCGAAATCACAAAAAGGTCCGCTAGATAGATGCGGATGTAGATAGTGCGGGTCTATAAAATAGTCAATGGACCATCATCCGCGTGATAAACTAAAAAATAAAACGTTTATAACAAGACCCATATTACTCCACAGTAAAATAAATTATGAATTAAAACCAAAAAAATGCATTTATGTAGAAATCTTTTAAACTGTTTGAAAATTTGCATTTTTGACTTTAGAATTTGATTTTGATGATCCTAAAACCTATAAAATGACACCCAACATGAAGTACTTTTTGCAAATTAATATGTTAAGAAAATCCTTGCGTCAGCTAGGGTGCTCAAAGCTATCCTCAGGATAAATTGACAGGTAAATCCAAATCCTGGCTTGTTTTAAGGGATTTTGCTGATGCATTAATCGAAGCTGAGACGAAATTCTCCCAGACATTTACACCTGAAGCATGAAATGAAGGTTATTTGATATTTATTCAAGTTAATATTATAGCTAAAAATTGAGTTTCTTGATCATATTAACGCGCAATCTCTGCCCAAATACCTGAATTGAATACAAATCTCTTTTGAAATAATTACTAATTAAAACTCTTGATGATTTCAGGATGTAACTTTGGAAGCGGAAGCGAGGAGGACCGGCCCAGGAGCACCAAGCGTATTATGGGCGCCGGCCTGAGCAAGACGCCGGCCGCGTTCCTCGAGTCGCTGCCCACCTCGTCGCATGGCACCGTCCACGTGGTCATGCTGGGTCTCGACTCGGCTGGAAAAACCACCGCACTTTACAGGCTCAAATTCGAGCAGTACATCAACACGGTGCCCACCATTGGATTTAACTGTGAAAAGGTGTGCATTCGAGAGAAAGAAACGGTTCATAACTGTTTTTGTTCTTTTTAAGTATAACAAATTTTATCAGTTTAAAAAAAAAAATGCCTGAAATAATATCTATAACTTAAAAAATTGAAATATGAGATCCTTGTAAAACTTTGCAAAACAGAGAAAACTACTGTTTAAAATAAGAAATTCACAGAATTTTCAAAAATTAAAAAAAACCTATTAAAATGCTATAAAATTGTTAGCTAAGAAACTGAATAGAATTTCTACAACTTGTTGCAGACCGTTGTAGTAAAAGATCTTTTTTAAGTGTATATTTGAAGTTTTTAATTTGAAATATATTTATTCTAAAACATTATTTTTGCTGCCATTTTATTACGCAGATCATAAACATTCAGAGGTAAAACCTAATTAAAATGAATTAAAAAATAAATAATCTATACATTCTTTTACAATCTGTTCCAATATTTTTGGGATTCAAATTAAAATTTTCATCTTTTTATGAGAGAGAAAAGAATTAGTTCACGATAACAAAAGGTATCGCTAACGTTTTTGTTGTCTATTTGATTGGCAGGTGAAAGGAACTCTGGGGCGCGCTCGGGGAGTGACGTTTTTGGTGTGGGACGTCGGCGGGCAGGAGAAGCTGCGGCCCCTGTGGCGCAGCTACACGCGGTGCACCGACGGAATCGTGTTTGTGGTGGACAGCGTGGACGCCGAGCGAATGGAGGAGGCGCGGGTCGAGCTGCTGCGGACGGCCAAGGCCCCCGAAAACGCGGGCGTGCCCATCCTGGTGTTCGCCAACAAGCAGGACCTGCCGGGCGCGCGCGACCCCAACGAGGTGGAAAAGCTGCTCGGGCTGATGGAGTCGCCGGTGCAGGGCTCCTCGGGGGCCGCCACGACCCACCCCTTCTACCACGTGCAGCCCGCGTGCGCCATCACCGGCGACGGACTGCACGAAGGAATGGAGCAGCTCTACGAGATGGTGCTCAAGAAGCGCAAACTGTCCAAGCAGAGCAAGAAGAACAAGGCCAAGCAGTGACCCTTTCGTTTATTCATGTGATACAAAGTTGACGCAGCTGAAAAGCAGTTTGTGGACGGGCCTTTTTGGAAACAAAACATTTTGGTTTTTCGTAATTAATCCTCTTTATTTGAAAGAAGTGACAAAAATTCGTTTCGAGTCCTGCAAAATTTTATAGGGACCAGAAATAATCGAAATCATTTACTAATTTTAAATTATTTAAAGAGAAAAAAGTGTGATTTGGTTAGATTTGTTTTATTAAAAGCTGCCAGCAGCTGATGAAAAGTTTAATTTTGTTAACTAATAGTCGAAATCTTGCCTGACTGAAAGCGCCTTTTAGAATTTCAATATTGAAACGGATTCTAATTTTTGGAATTGATTTAAATCCATGCTCTATAAATTTTGAGGTTTTAAAAATTGAATTCTTTAGTAAACTGACTTCAAAAGATAATAGATCTGTCACTTTTTTGAAAATATGTAGTACTGAGATGTGCCCATTGTGAGGCAGCAAAAATTGTTTCTGGATATTTTTACCATAATAGTTGGGCGGCTTAAATGGAAATGCGTATATAATTATTTCCAAGCGATTCACCTCCGCGTTTATTCAAGGCCTAAGAGCTTAATGTTTTCTGCAAACAATGAAGAATCGATAAGTATATGATTCAGTTGTTGTCTCTGTTGGGGTGCATAATACACGAATGTGCTCCGCATTTGCAGGCGAGTGCGCCGTGAAACGAAAAAAAACTCGAGGGTGCAGACCGAAGATTAGCCGTTTAGCAATTGTTAGGCAAAGTGGAATTTCGCAAAAGCGAGCCAGTCCCGTAATACACGCGTTTAGCAGCATTTCCATTCCCACTGTAGCCGAGCATAAATATAATAGATCTGCTGTTCAAACCATGAAACAATAGATGTGCGAATCTCTCATCCTCTTGCGACGTATAGCATTACATATACATTATAAAACTCCAATATGTAAAAGCACAAAAACTCTCTCATACTGTCAAATCTTTTCATATACGTTTGTCAGCTTTTGTCGGCCTCTAGTTTGCAACTCATTCAAACCCACCTAGTTATTTTGTTGATTTTTATTTGCCACACACGCTTAACTTATTTATGTATATTATTGATATATGAATGACATTGTGTACATTTTGCATATTTGTATCAATGTATATTACTTTGCCCTGTATTGTTGTACGGAAATAATAAAACCATTCTTTTGTATGTTTAAAAATATAGAATGAATTTCTGCTTTGTTCCTACCTTTTTTATTAAGAAGTTTCCGGCAACGTGTGTATTTTTTTTCTCCCATAGGAAGAGGTGAAAAATATTTCATGAATAATGTGCATGTGTCCCAGATCAGGGTTTTTGTTTGACGAAAAAATGAAAACTAGAACTCGTCTCTTTCGCACGCGCTGAGCGCACTTTCAATTGTTGCCTATTATGAGAGATTTGAAGGAATTTCTCACGCGGGGCACTTTGCCTCTCTTAGGCAAAATTTATTCGTTTTCTCACACACCAATTGTTTGATGGTTGCGCCAAAATAAAAGATGTGCGACCTGCTTCTTGCCAAATTCGTTATTGTTCTACTAGCATTTTGTTTGCCACGCGCTTTTCGGTTGCGAAACCGAGCAAAAATGCCTGGAAACTTTCAATAGGCCTTTTATTATGATCTTTTAGAGGCAATCAGAACCAAAACAACTTGCTTAAGAGCAGCTTACATTTTTCTTTTATTATTCATTAAATTTTCTAGCCTTAAAAATGGGTATGGAAACTACCTTAATTCCGGAAATCTGATGGTGATAGAAATTCTTAATCTTTAAAAATAAAAGTTAAACGGGAACTGTGCACACTGATTTAAAATATTTAAATTAAAGGCGTACACTTTAAATTTAAATAAATTATTTATAATATTTATGCATGTACATAAAATAATTATAAATATTTAAAAAAAACCTATAAAGCAGGTGGATAAAAAAAAAATACAAAAACTTTTTCAGCCCTACGGAGATATTTAAAAAATTGTTTTCTTTAAAAATATATAATATAAATCCTCTATTTTCAGTGTAAGCGCATATTATTGAAGCAAACAAGATTTTTAATATTAAATTAAAAACAGGTGATTTATTTGTTCAATTAAATTTTTACAACAAAGGACATGTGTGCGAAATAACTTATTAGCAGCCTTGGGAGGGAAAGGATCGATGTCATCTCTCAGGGTCGCTTGTTGGGACTCCACTTGGTCCTGCGAAAAGCGCACAGGGATGTGGGTGGAGCGGCCAACTGGACGGCGACCCAAGCGACAAGCAGCAGGCCGAGAGCCATTAGTCAGTACCGGTTCCTGGGCGCCACCGTGGTGGAGGAGGGGGACGGGGTGGCCGTGGCCGCCGTGATGACCTGCACGTTTCGCACACGCTGGATGTTACTCGGCCGGGCTGAGGTGGCGCGAACGGCCGAGGCGGGGGTCACCGTGGAGTACTCGTACTCGACGCCGGCAGGGTCGGGGGTGTGGATCACGAAGGGGGTGGCACTGGGCTCAGGGTAGGTCGGTCTGGTGGCGTAGGAGGCCTGGTAGGCGGCCAGTTGGCGTTCGTGCGTCTCGCGGGCCAACTGCAGCGCCTGCTGGTAGGGGAGGGAGCGAAGGTTGTAGGATGAGAGGCGCGGGTCAGGCTGCGTGTAGAATCGCTGCCCCACCAGCCGGTCGCTGTACTGGTCACCTTCGTAACCACCCCCGCTGAGTCGCCCCAGGGGCAACGAGTTGTCCAGCCCCAGGAGACGGGCGGCCAAGAGCATGCGTTGGATCAGGGCGAGTCGCAAGTCTTCGTAAGGGGCGGCCGCCGAAGGGTAGTAGGGGTTGTAGGCTGCAGCAGGTCTCTGGTACTGGCCAGGGTAGTAGGAGAGGTAGGGGTCGTAGTACTCGTCCCTGTTGGACAGATAGTCCAGGACGGGGCTCATCAGGGCCCTGAGGGAGGGGTTCAGGGCGCGTCTGGCCTCAGGGGTGACGTACTGGTGCAGTTCGGAGAGCTGCCCTGGCGTCAGGTGGCGCAGGACGGCGCTCTGGACTCTGCCACGCAGCAGGTGTTGCCGAAGTTGTCCGTCGGCGCCGTAGACGTCACCCGAGTCGACGCCCGGCTGGTAGAACTGCTGTTGTTGCTGCTGGAGGCGGAGGAGCTCGTCGGCGTCGGTGCGCGAACCCTGACGGCTGCGCCTCAGCAGCATGGTGAGGGCCTGCGAGGGGTCGTCGGGGCTCTCGGAGTCCTGGGGGCGGCGGTAGCGCAGCTGGCGCCGCTTTTTGTTTTCTGCAACAGGCGGAGTAGGAAGGTTAGTCATGGCGGGGGGGTTGATGAGGGCGGCGTCCTCGGGGCGCGTCGAGTAGACGAAGCGCTTGAGCGCGCCCGTGGCCGCGTCGACGAACGCGAACGTGCCTTTGACGTGGCCGTCGGCCGACCGCGTCTCGATCTTGAAGCTGCCGTCCTCCGCCTCGTGGCCCACCGTGTACGAGTTGTCCTCGTTCACGTGGTTCACCTGCTTGACGATTCGCGCCGTCTCGGCGCTCTTCAGCACCTCGTCCTTCTCCTCGGTCGCCTTCGCCTCAGGTTCGCCGCTCTCCACTTTCTCGTCCTTCGCCTTCAGTTCGCCGGGCGCTGCACTCGCGGTCTGGCACGCGAGAATCGCCGCACAGATTGCAAGAAACACCTGAAGAACAAGAGAAAATTAAAAAGTAAGAAATAAAGAAAACAATGATAAATAAATTAAAAATATACACAGAATATTAATTAATGTACTGCAAACTTTTATTTTAGCCCAACAATTTTTTAATTTGAAAAAACAAATTTGTGCTTCATTTAATTAATTTGACTTAATTTAGGGAACGTTAATTTTTTTTCTTTTTAAAAATAAAATAATAAAAGCGTGAAATATAAAAATCTAATTTTTTTAATCACGATTTTACAATTTTTGATAAAATTACAGACACAATTGCTCTTCTTTTAATTTTTTTCTTATCTGAAATTTTCACGAGTATATTGAACAATAAAGATACATTTGGTTTTTTAACCAAAATCTCACAAATAGGCAACCTGTATTTACATTGGTGTCAAGCAGGCTGCATTTGTGTTCTGATGTTTATTCCCTTAAATTGAAACTTGGAGTCGCAATTCGAAATATATACGAATATGAAGTAATAAAAACTCACCAATTTGCGGTGGATCGTCGGCATGTTGACGTCGTCCCGTGCAAGAGCAACAACACGACGCGCACTGTGCTGGGAGTTGAGGCGAATTGTGCGGGGGCGAATTCCGGACGGTCCTCTTATAGCCTTTCGTGCTTTGGTGACGCAAGATTCAGTAACAGTAATCAGCCTGGGAGATTCCTCTTCGTCTTCCATCCACAACAATCGCGAGCGTGTGAGATTTTCAGCGCCATCCTACAGGGAAAGTAATTTTTTGTTTTTAGTAGCTTAGGAGAGTCGCGCGCGCCGACAAACAATGCATATGACCGTGCACTGGTTTTTATTACCAAACGAGACTCATGCGAAATTACACACACGCACGGACGACCGAGTTGCTAAATCGATTTAGCCCAGAGATGCTCGTCAAGAAGAAATTTTCGAGTTTCGCTTCCTCCCTCATTAGGGAGTGAAAATGAAGAAATGAATGAAACTCTTGAATTTCTTAAGGAGAGTCAAGCGGTATAAATATTTTTATAGCATATAATTAATCATGTGGCACAATTAGTTAAGTAGAACACAAGAAATTGTGAATAATTATTTTTAGAAAATTTATGTTCAATAATGAAATTTGAAACCTATTGTTTATTATTTTTAATTGCAAAATTAAAAGCATTATTTTGAGGAGCTTCATATATAATATACTTAAAAACACATGCAAAACAATGTGTTTTATAAACAATTATATAATATGTTTTTCATAATTTTTATGATGAATTTTAGAAAAATGAATTTAATAGAAATTTAATTAGTTTTTGTTTGCAAATTTTTGCATGCGAAAATAAATTTATCAATTTATTAACAAAAAAATATTTCCAAGGTACATAATAAGTTATTTAACATTTTTTTTTCGTTCGAAGAGTTCAATAAAACTTTTTATTTATTTTGTGTTTAAATTATATATGTTCTTAATGTTTATAATCAATTACGGACCTTGCTATAACTGTGAGAATTTACTGCAGTCGTCAACAATGCAACTTACAATAAACAGTATTGTATTGGCAACCTTTTCATACTGCCGCCCTTTTTAACGTTAATGAAGCAAACGAAGCAAAGGTATTCTGTTTCTCCAGGTCGGTTTTTATTAAAAACGAAGTTCAGTGAAATTCAAGAAGTTAGTGTTGAAAGAATGATGGGATTCTTGATTATTTTCTACATATTACACTGAAGTCCCAAAGCACAAAAATGAAAAAAAAGTGCGCTTATTTTCCTTCCATCTTGAAAAGTCAGAAGCAAAACTTTGAAGTGCTGAATAGGGAAACAAATGCTAAATAATTTGACGGGTACTTCAAAACAAATTTCAAGGTTGAAAGTCCTTCTTTAACTCTGTCAACCAGCAGGAACTATGTCATACGATATAATTATGTTTTATAGCTGATAAATTTTTAAATACCCATAATAGTTCCGGCATATTTGACTTCTTGGAGTTTTCCGCTTCCCGAGAAAACATCAAGCAATTAATGGCTTTTGGCATTTTCTATTCAATGGGTTATTTATTCTAAATTTCCTTTTAAAATAAAAAAAATTAATTTGTAAAAATTCAATTAAAAGGAAGTCTTTCATAATTGATTTATTTAGATGAAATGGAGATAGAGAGGAGGAAAAAATTTTAAAATAGAACACATGATGCAATGCAAACCCATTAAAACAGTAGTTGAATCCAACTTGCTGGAAAGCTGTATTAAATTTGTTGAATTACGTGCAAGTAATTAAAATAAGTATTGCTGTGTCACTTTGATTTTTACATTTAATTTGTTCCGCATTTCATGATTTATTTTGCAATATATTTACTTGCTAGTTTTTCTCCCACCACAATTATTTCTTGTTTCTAATTTTGCAGCTTCTACCTTTTTTTTCCAAAAATTCTTCTTTAATTTTTATTCATCGCATTTTCTCTTTCATTGCGACCTAAATTTAGCATCAACTCTTGAATTTATGTTCTTCTTTTATTCAAGTTCATTGAGAACCATAGAGGTATGCATTTAGGAATGCTATGGTGTTGCGCAGATTGCCTACTCTGAAGGAGACAAAAACTAGATTAAATCACACGGGCGCAGCGTTGTCAAGAAAATAACTAATTTAGGCGTGTTAAATATTATATAATTCTTTTGTTTATTTTTCTTAAATCTTCAAAAACAGCATATTAAGTTGTTTATTTTAATTTTATCACTGCAATTCAGCATTATTCAGTTTTATATTTTTTTTATTATTAATTTCATATTTTACGAGTCTTCTCTACTCAGCCAGTTCTCAAAAGTAGTAACTAATCTAGTTTAATTAAAACATTAATAATAGAAAGTTATGCAATTCCGCTGTCTAGATTCAGCACAAATTGAATTGCTATAGCACTTTGTCCATGCACAAGTTCCTAAAATCGCGCCACCTCAGGAGCTGTTTGAGAGAGGGCGCAGTCGCCCCTGCGTCGTCCATCAAGTCATATGTTTATGTTTACATTACATACATGTGGTGAGGTACAACGAATTCGGCATAATTTAGGAGGAAACGGTCAGACTAATCAGCCTAGTGACCTCTTATCATGACGTGGGCAACTGGGCAGGTAAGATAAGATTGATTTTTATTAATTCTATTTTATTTATCCTCACTTAAAGCTTTTGAAACTTTCCTCTTGCATAATCAAAATAATCAATTTGGCACGCAGTTGTACTTAAAATCAAATCAATCATGCACTTTTATGAAACTGTTGACAGCCGTGTGTCAAAATCTAATTAGTTTTCCAATCAGAAATTTAATAATAATTGGCTCTCAAATTAAACGTCGATTTTGTAATTGATTGTGATTTGAAATAAAAAGGACGTGTGCGTCGACCACTTGACGCTCGCCCCCGCTCGTGACATCAATCGCGAATAAATAAAAATTGCACAAAACCAAAGTGGCTCGCGCCCCATGCCAGCCAGTGATATGTTTCGGTTTTCAATCAGTTTATTATAATATGCGAGCAATATATTGTGTTACAAGCCGCACGCGCGCTTGCACACCGCACACGACCTGATTGGAACAGTTTGAAATTCTAAACCCTCGTACGGCCGAGAAACATCATTTCAATTGCAGCGATGAGAGAGAAAATGAAACAAGTGACACATTTTATATAAAATGCGAATCTAATTCTGTGTTCACTTTCGATTTATTTTTATGCATTATTGAACTCATTCAAACTTGTAATGCAAATCAATAATAATTAAAATTTACTAAAATTAAGCTAAAATTTGAGTAGCAAAGATGATCATTAACAAACGGGGATATTATGAAGAAAATAAACTGAAATAGGTTGAAATTTACTCAATTATTTTCATGATGAGCCTGCGATTACGCAGCGAGGCCTTTTTAATTCCATTTCCCTGCTGAAATTTAATTAGAATTAAAACTGGAACGCGCACCGAGTCGCGCAACACGCGGAGGAGATAAAATTTTTGTCACTGCATGGCGCGGTGGGAAAATGAGTTTGGTTTGCAAAGCGGTTCCTGGAATTTGAGCCTGGCGTTTGCCAACACCGACCGACTGCTGGCCAAAGTATGTGCAAATTTATCACACTTGAAAATTTATGCGCCCGCTTTAATTGCTTCACGCGGAAGAAATGTTGCACTTTGCTTTTTTTAATTTTATTTGTCATTGTAATTCTAATTTAAATATATATGTAGAATAGAATTTATTCAACTTGCTTGATTTAAAAAAATATTTATAAATTATGTGAATTTATAATGATGGTAAAATATACAAATCTAATTTAATGATTATTTTTACAAAATTGTTGCTGAAAAAGCAATAAATTTATTTTAAAATAGATTTGTTTTTGTTAATTTTAGTTTTTAAATATTTTAAATTATTATTTTTATATTTATATGAATAGATAAAAATTAATTTTTATTACATTATATGACTCTTATTATTTGTTGGAGCAGTAATAAAACAAACCCATCAAGAATTGGAAAATAATTTTGTATATTTTTATGACAATAATTGTTTTTAAACAGCACATCAGTGTTCCATAATTATTCTCCCATAATAATAAGGAAATGAATTTGAAGACAATATGTGGGTGGTGTTTTTTTAACAAAATAAAAGTTTTTATTAAAGTAACTTTTTGATCTTCATATTTGAATGGTAAAATAGGAATCAATAAAAGATAAACTTAAGTTTAAATTTCAAGCAAATTTAGAGCTTAAGACTTAAGGATCAAATCAGTTCAATAGAAAAAGCAATTTAAATAAACAAATCAAAAAAGTATGGTATTTTCCTTTTCTTTTAAACAATTTTATCAATAATTTTGTTGCGATCTTTTTACATAACTTCAAGTGTTGCATAATGACGAGATATTAATATATTAAAAGATGTTAAGCAGATTTTTGTGGTCGTTGGGCGTCGGTTGCCCAACCCGAGAATAAAATCGACCTTCTCGCTCATTCTTGGTAAACGCGCCGCTTTCATCTCTGAAGAGTCAGGTGCGTCGTCGCTAGGGCACGAGAGCGAGAGAGAGACAAGCAAGACAAGTGCTACACTTACAGTTGAATCGCGATCGGAGAGAAAGTGATTTGGCTCGCGGCGTCTCGACGCGCCGTGAATAAATTTTATTTTTCTCCGCTAATGCATTTCATTTTGGACGACCTGCGTCGCGCCCAGCCGCCGTTGCAAAACATTCCGCTCTTTTTGTCTTCAATAAAAAAATAAATAAGAAGTGAATTGAATACATAAATTGGATAAATTGTATAAATGTTTGCATTTCACACATTAACAAGTGGGGAGATTAATTCGCAAAAAATGTGCCAGATTTGTAAGCTGTTAAGGAGTTCAATTAAGTTTTGGTTCAATTATTTATTACATATCTGCTTGATTGCTGCATTTCTCGGAAAAGTTCAAAAATTGTTTGATTTTAATTTAAATGAATTTTTTTAAATAAAATAGAAACTGTTTAGAGATTTGAATTCTCTCTCTTGTCTTGAAAGTGGGCGAACAGGTTAGGATTGTAATTCATTTCGGATCAAGCGAAAAATGGCAACATTCTGCTCGCAACGAGAAATCACAAAAATACAAAACCCTTTCACTTTCGGCCAAAACAACTTTTGTAGAGAATTATTTGCTCTCCATTTTTTTTCCGTTTGAAATTTCACATCGATAACGAAAGCCAAGTTTGTGTTTCTTGGCCGCTGGTCAAGAGAAGAAGCGAGAACACGCATAAAAAGTAAAAGGGCGTGGTGTTGGCGAAAATAACGAGCAAAAGCACCGAGAGTCGTTCGAACACATAGCCTTGCCCTTGAGTTCGATCACGACTTTGTGAGTGGGTGTAAATATCCGACTCATGTGGTTGAAACCAAATTCTTCTCTTGTTATATAAAAGGGAGACAGACATATGCACTACTTTCGTTTGAGTAAATATCGTGAGAAGATTTCGCATGGTGCAACTTAAGCGAGCCAACTCATAATAAAACAATTAAACGTGCTGTGTTTTTATTTCTTGCACATCTTTTAATTTTTGTGCAACTCCGCCATCGTAAATCGCGTTTCAAAACTTTTATAATTAAAATAATTATTGCTCCTTCATGTTCGAATTGGATTTATAATTCGCACTTGTCATCCACGCGTTTGCAGCCGTGAATTTATGGCCGTAATTGCTGCACAAAGCGTATAAAAAGTGGACTGGACGCGCACAAGTGATGCTTCTTATTTGGTCTGATCAAGGCCAGCAGCGTTCTTTTGACTTGACGCATAATTTTAGCTCGTCTGCTTCTAGAAATTTATCAAATTTCCCTTAAAATTAACATAAAAAATCTTACTATTAAAAGTTGCATGTTTATTTATTGATTTCTACCAGTTTTAACTGCATATTTTTGCACAGAAATTCATAGCAATAATCAAAATATACATTTTTTAATTCCCAAAACTACCAAAATTGTTAATTTCTTGTCCAGAAATGATTGCTGAAGATATATTATTATAAGAAAAAACACAAAAATTTAATTAGTTGAATAAAATTTCTTTGCATAAAAAGATAAAAATTAAACATTTTTACGCTTGTAAGTGTATCAATTTCTCATTCCTTTGTTCTCAAACGTCACTCAATGAATTGTTTATCCGGCTCGAAGGCCACTAAAAGTGCTCTTATGATTCTTCTTGTGAGAAGGAGTACTTTTGTGTTGGGCGTCGAAGCTCTCACTCTTGGGTGTCATATTCGAGGCCGCGCGCTCTGCAACAAGATCGCGCGTCTTTTTCTTCTCGTCTCCCATCGAGACATTATTTTCCCACGTTCGAATTCACAAAAACAAGGTGAGTCAAAGTGCCACTCTCTTCTGAATTTTTAATTACCCAAGAGGACATTTTAGCAAAAAATTAAACAACGGAGGTATTTTTTTTAAAAATATATTAAAAATACACGTACACGTTTTCTCTTTATATTCGAGAGGCAAAAAAGCAGCAGCGGTTTTCGTCTGCAGCTCGTACACAAAAATATAAAAAATTATTTACAGCAGAGCGTTTTGGGCACTAAGAAATGACTGGCCACCCATGCACCCCCGAGTGTGGTCGAGCGAAGGGGTGGCGGGACGGGACTTCTTCTTCTCTCCTCAATATTAAGGGATGATTTTTGCTCAGCCTACAGCTGGAGGTTGTGGCCCTTGAGGAAGGAGTCGATCTGTCCTGTGGAGAACTGGTTGCGGAGGTTGGGGTTGATGTAGTAGAAGGACTGCTGGGGAGCATGGGGGGCGCCCACAACGTTGGCGGGGTAGCGAGCCTGAGGCTGGGGAGCGGCCTGGACGGGCGCAGAAGGGGTGGGTCCCGCCCTCAGAGCCTGGAAGCCAGGGAAAGGTTGAGAGGGGAAGAAGGGCTGTTGCTGGGGCTGCTGCTGGTGCACGTAGGGCTGCAGTCTCGTGTTAAGGGAGAACTCTCCCGCGCCCTTGGGCAGCTGCTGGTACAGGACGGTGTTGTACTGTCCGGTGGAGGGGTTGAAGATGAGCTGCGAGTTGTAGTAAGGGTTGACGGTGGGGCCGGCAGCCCTGGCGGGGGAGGCGGTTGAGCTAGGGGAGACAAACTGCTGGTTGGTGAACTGCTGAGTGGTGGGGGCAACAAGGCGAGGGGTGACGGTGGCGGTGGCGGGGGCAGCCTGCTTGATTTGGAACCTCTTCAGTTCCTCGTCAAAGTTGATGGCTCCGGGGGCGTTGGCCGGCACAAGGGGTTGAGGCCTGGAACGGATGAAGGTGGCTTGGGTGGCTGGGGGGTTACTCTGCAGCTCAGGACGGAAGGTGGTCACCTGAACGGGAGCAGCGGTTTGTTGGACAAAGGTCTGCTGGCGAGCAACGGGTCTGGGGGTGACAACAGTCACAGACTGCACGGGGGCGGGGGTCACCACCCTGCGGGGCTGGTACTCGTTTTGGAAGACTGAGCTGGGTGCTGGGGCGGCAGGTCGAACCCTGGAAACGTTGGGTCGGACGGCAACTGGACGGCGAACGGGCACGTTCTCCTCGGAATCGTCTTCCTCCTCGGAACGGTCATCCTCTTCAGGGTCGGGGTTGTTGGGGTCGCAGGGGTTGCCGGAGACGTAGGTGAACTCGCGTTTGTTGCCGTCAGGGTCGATGTAGCCGTATTTGCCACGGACGACGCAGTCGGTGCCTCTGGTCTCCTCCTTGAAGGAGCCGTCGGCGGCCTCGTAGCCGAAGGTGAAGCTGCCATCATCGTTGATGGTGTTGAAGTTGCGGATGGTTTCAACGGGTGGCGCCCTGGTGGCGTCCTTGGAACGCGGCGACGGAGACTGGATGGCGCGCTGCTGGGCCTCGACGCGAGGACGAATCACCTGCTGACGCTGCAGAGGTCTCTGTTGGGGCTCCTCGTCGTACTCCTGGCTCTCCTGAGTCGGCACCACGTGGTAGTAGCTGAGCTGAGCGTCAGCGCGTGCCTCGGCCACCGGCTGCTCCTCCTGCGGCTGCGCTAGAACGCGTTGGCGCACGCGCACGACTCGGCGCTGCTGCTGTGCAAGCGCAGCACTCGCCACGCACGCTAACACCAAGAGCGCCTGTGGACAGAAAATTCCAATGTTAATTTTTTTTTTCAAAATTTTTTATAGTCAAAATTATTTCAATAAACATTTCCTTAAAATAATTTTATAGAAACATTATTTGATCGATTCTAAATATATTGAATAATTGGAAGCAAAAATTAATATTCTAATATATTCATAAGACCAAGAGAAGAATTAATGAAGCTGGTTAATATTTTGGATTTTTCCTTACTCTTTTTCCTCTGTAATTTGACTCTAATTCTAAAGACAATGCTTGACAGAATAAATTTAAATGTACAAGTGGAATAATTATGAAATACACTAAGTTTCTAATAATTATTTTCTACGCCCATTGGTGTCTATTAAATATTAATTCATACACAAAAAACATACATAAATTTTCTTTTAAATGAATTTTACTTTCTATTGTGGTGGCTATTGCTAAGGACATGACATTTATTTTATTCGGTTTCCTGCCACTGAAATATCTCAACCTTGTCCCTCTAAACGTTAAGTTTTAAACGCAAGAATCAACACATTGATATTAATTTTCCATTCAACATATGCAGATCGTTAGCTTCTCATTTCCATTCAAATGCCAGACGGTCATGCCGCGATCGTGAGAACCGATTTGAATGCGCTCCATCATAAAAAAAAAAAAAAAAACAATGAGAATGATAAATCGTTCCTCTCTATCTCATTCATCGATCAAACTAATTGTTCTTTGCCGCGTAACTACTCGAGAGATCAAGTCGAAGCAATTTCGCTCTTTTTGTTGTTGTAAATCAAAACGCGGCGCGCAGCCTTGGAGAAGAATGCGTCGACCGCATACCGCGCGCGCGTTGCTTTCTACGTGCATGCAGATTTGTATGAAGGAGAGAAAAGTAGGTCTGGCCACAGCCTTTTTGATATCACACGTCCGACGGTCCGGCGTGTGCGTGCAGTAATTACGAGCGACAAAGTGTGCGTGTCCGCTCGGGAGGAGCTGAAAGTGAGTGGACAAAGAAAGAAAGAATCGAGAAGTGCTTTCATTTTTTACAACCTTGGCCGCTGAATTTTGTAGAGAGAGAAATTCCGGCGCTTTCCACGGCAATTTCATCTCCAATGCCACCAAAAAAAGGCGGAATGTTTATTCAGGAGACTTTTTTGAGAGAATAATTATTATTGTTTGGTTTTCATTTTCGTGTCTTTTCCAAGGTGAAACGCCAGCAAAAGCCGACGAAGACGAATCTCCGGAAGAAAGTGATGAATTTATAAACGTTTTCGGTTGCGCAACTCTTAAGGGCAAATGCTCATATAAAAAAAAAATCAGGTGTGATTTTTAACCTGAGGGCTTTACTCCCAATAAAATTACATCACGAGAGGAGAGGAAGAAAGTTGCAGTATAGGTTGGGAAAAATGCGTAATTAGCCGATTTACGACCGGAGCATGCCTGCGAATTAAAATAATTAAACTTGTGCAATGTGTTCGGAAAGTTTAAGAAGCACAGTGTGGGAATTCGATTCGCGAGAGAGATAACGAGGACGCATGCATGAATGAGAGAAATTGGCTGCTGATAATTGGAAATTGCTCCGGGATGACTCGCAGCCAAAAGCATGTCATGTGGTGTATTTTCTGTGCACCAGCTGCTGTGTGAGAAAAGGAATAATGAGACGATTTTCGAACAAGTCAATTCGCCCCACTTGCGGAGAGAAATTATCCACGGTGTGATATACTGACAGAGAAAGGACGAGATGAGAAAGACGATGGCAATTAGCTGGCGAAATATATATGTGGTGCATTTAATGGTCCGCGACTGATTTTCACGGATGCGATATCGAATGATAATTTTAGAAAATGGAAAGCGACTAAACAGGATTTTCTACTGCTTGATCTTTGAAGACAAAATTAAATTAATTATAAAACAGTAAAATATAAACTAAATTTGAGGCAGAAAGAGAGATAGAAAGAGAATCAAAGTGTTTAACTAATTTGATTAAATTAATTTTAGTTGCAGAAATTCCTATAACAAAAATTGATTAATTTAATTTTTAATTTTTTTTTATATTTTAAAAGTAAATAAATAAATACAGTCTTGAAATTTAATTTAACTAGAATTACATTTGTACTTACAATTTGCAATTTGGCCATGTTGCCGTTTGAGTGTCCGTTTAGTCCGCTGGCCGGCGCACTGCTCTGCACTCGTCAATTGAAAGAGTTATTGTGACGCGAGCGCGCCCGCCGCCCCATCTTATACCTTCGCCGACCCTTCCACCTCACGGATTCTCGGTGCGCGCGCTCTGCAGGTGAAAATCTGCCGCTAATGTCTATCTTCGTTATTCAAATTTAATTACTCGCGTGTGCCGCCGAGCCATTAATTCTCCCCGTCCAAGCCCATTGGGCCGCCGAGTAAGGACAATGCATTCAATTTAATACTTTGCTTAAACAAAGTTGACTAATTAATGCAATTAATTAATGCTTCTAAGGTTCTGCAGGAAAATTTTTAAAAGTTGTTTCGTTTTTATTTTTGCTTGGATATTTACTTTTTTTTATTATCATTAAATGTAAATTTCATTTTTTATAAAAGTCGTTTGTGCAGACAATGCATGCATTTGGAAAATGCACATGGAAAAACGTTTAAATTATATTGCACTTGTCTTGAATGTAGCTGCAGCTTTTTTTCCAAAAAAAGAGGATATTTTTATAAATTTATAGACCTTTTTGGCGTAAGAAATTTTTAAATTTTTCTTATAAGTTTATTTTTTATATCATCATTAAAAATATCAATGAAAAAAATTTTATTCACAAATATATCCTACAAGAAAATTGGTGTCGCACGGATCGTCGAGCCAGCCACCGACAGACACATCAAATCTCATGCAATAATCATTTGATGTGTCGTTCGAGGGTTCTCCAGGCAACCAAAAATAATCCGTAATGGTCTCACCGGTCGTTTCCCAATACCAGACTTGCTTTTTTGCGTCCTTCCTTGCTGCAGTCCAATACCAAGATCTTTCCAAACCTATTATTTTTTAAGTACAAAAATGTTGCTTTACTCAAAATCAAAATATCAACCTGCTTCAAACAGGGCTGCCTGAATTGCAAGGTATTCGCCCTCTTCGTTAAAATCGACTAAATGTTTTCCTTGATTCAAACATTCTTGATCGGCCTCGGCTATGCCAACCTACAAATTTTGTTCATTTTTCATCTTCTTTTAAAATATAAAAACATGTAACTTACAGCTGCGCGAAAGACTGAATAATTTCGGCCGTTCGCCTCCATCTCAATCCTTGAACCTTTTTAACATTATGGAAATTACTAAAATTTATTAAATATTTATAAAACAAAACCTGCAGCAACGTTCGTTTCCTTGGTAAATAATGAACTCCCTAACTAATAGTAAAAATTTTTTGTCAGTTCTATTAAAAAACTAAATTTGTAGAATAAAATTTGCAAACCTGAGTGAAAAACAGGAGTAAAAGAACTCCTAACATTGAAGAGGTCGCCATGGCTGAAACTGCCTTCTATACTTGTATTTCTAGATCAAATCAGGGTTTTAGAAAATATGGATGACTTATCAAAAAAGCACTTAATCATTTTAGATGTGATGTTATCGTTTCGATTTTCTTGATAAAATTTGTACCATGTTGTGTGTACTTTAGACTTTTGGAGTAGATAAGGTGAAGGAGTTGAATTGTGAAAACACCGATTGTGAGAAAATTGTGTCTTCTTGGATGCTTCTTGGATGTAAATTTTGAGGTCAATCTGAAACTTTAATTTGTGAAGTTAGTTAATTGGGTTGATGGGTTTGATGATTTTTTAGTATAATTAATGTCAGAAAATTTCCATAAGGACCATAATTTTCAAAAATTCAGTCCTCCAAATTTTGATCCCATTTATACTACTCAATATAGTATTGGAAATGGCTTTATAAACTTTTCCTATTTTATATCAATTTTTGTTTTTTCAATTTTCTTGATTTTATTTTATCGTGTATTATTTAATAAGATATTTAAATAATACTTCAGTTAACAAGAGACGTTATTTAATTGAACGACTACTCAAGTGTCCACTATTCTCTCTCAATATAAAGTGACCTGAAAAAGAACAAAATAATTAAATCCAGGCGCAGTGAGCTTTTGATTGTTTTGTATATATTTAAAACTTTATTGCAACACTTTTTCTCTCTATTTATTCTTAAACACGCACTTGATTATAAAATTAAAATTAGTCGAGATTATGCCTGATGCCGGATCTAAACTTGTTAACAGCGCTTGAAACCGCTGAGTAATGATTTCATCAAGAATTTCCCTCTGCCAGGCGTGTGCAGCTGGCCACTGACCAGCGCACGCTTGCCAAACAATTAAAAATCAGCACCTGGCCGCGCACGCAACTTTTTCTATCTCTCACCGCGAAGATAAGAGAGAAACCAATTGACGTGGGTTAGTTTTTTGGGTGCTAAAAGTAAAAAGCAGAAGACCGCATCATAAAACAGTTAAGGCAAGAAGAGGCCAAATCAATGCAAATTTTGTTGAGCTGGTTATATGCGTGATCAACTGATCAATCGGTCAATTAATCAGTAAAAAGTAATGTTTAATTAATTATTTAATTTTAATTTATTATCAAAATAAAATAGCTTTTACACTTAGTTGTGTTTAATCTTTTTGTAAATTAAAAATAAATTTTAAAAAGCTGAAAAAGATTAATTTATTTGATCTAATTTGGTGAATAATATAATTTTTAAGGAATAAGTAAATATATTATTTAAACAATTAATTTTTTTATAATATAGTTTTTCAATAGTTTTATTAGTAGCAATAATTTTTGCAATAACACACAAGAAAAGATCAAAACAGAAGCTTAATTATATGCAAACCCTGCTCATCAACTCCGTTATGTTGGCCAAAAAAAAGATGTCTACCTCCCAGAGCCATAAGGCCCCATGGCTCTGACGGCAGCAGTGTACCAACATAATTTCGGGATGAGCAGGGTTTGATTATATGTATTTAATTAGTAAATATAAGACAAACTTTTGAATATCAAATTTGTTTCCCTTAAGTTTAAAACCTATAATTTATAAGAACTACGTTGAAACGGTAATACAACAAAATCTTTGCAATTTTACAACAAAATTAAAAAAGACTAGATTAAAAGTGAAACTCTATATATTTTTTTTTCTATTAAATAATCAGATTAATCAGTTTAAAATCTATCTTCACATGATTTTTAACTCATTAAAATACTTACAAGTTAAATTATTTATGAAACAATTAGTTTTGATGCAATTTGAAACTTTTATTGACTCTGACAAGCTGTGAACAATCTAGCAAAATCAAGGTTTGCGGCTAATATTAATTTGGTCAGTTGGGCCACTCACTCAGTCACACCTCGGTTTCCCAAGATAATTATTTATTATTTAACCAATTTTTTCATCACAACCCGTCATTAGTTATGAAATACACACAATGATACACTCGGTCAAGATTACGATCCGGCGGCCCAAACAAGAGAAGGAATTGAAAAAAAAAACGCGAGCATTGAAATCACCGGAGGCGCGAGAGAGACCGCCGCGCAATTTCTCCACGCGTCTCCAATGCAAATTCTTTCTCTCTAATCGGCGGGGAAATCGAACTGGATCGTTTCATGCCTCACCAATCGTGACCATATCAAAGATTATCAAGACTTTGGCCGTGGCAGTCTCTGGCGGGCCTTGATTGTGATTCACGTCCTGGCGGATGTGGTTGGCGGAAAATAAATGAATTTTTTTTTAAAAAAGCATGAGCCTCTGGTGTTTCGTTTAAGGAGTGACGCACTGCAGCTCGTTACCATTCCGGACGCGCACGATTGTAATTTTCGATTTGGTATTCCGGTCGAGGCGGCAAATGGAATTCGTGAAAAACACTTTTCTCGATTTGCGTGCGACAAAAGGTGGCAAAATGAGGCGCTAATTTCCCTTTTATGTAAATGATCGGGCTTTATTTTGCAACTGGCTAAATTGGCAAATTTTGGTCAGTTAGATTTGGAAATCAATACATTTGAATTAAACTTTCTATAAATTAAAAACATAATAATTAAACAAAAATTAATGTTGAAAATTAGAGTTCATGTTAAAAAAAATTTAAATTTATTTACTTTTCACTTTTTGTTAATATTTTAAATTATTTGCTGCTTTAATGGAATTCAAATTTTCATTTTCCACTGAAATTTACCTCTTATATCTTGATCTTTATTGGTTTTCTGTAATAAAAATTATATATAATTACGTTAAAACATAAATTTTTAATTTCAAATGATGGCCATCTGGGTCGTGAGATACATTTAAGTCTCTCACCGTTGAACCGAGAACAAGGAGCTTTTAATAAGTCTGTGTTGCTCATAAATATTTTGATCGTGATACCGACGCCTTTCCTCTCTATCAGGCTGATATGAATGAAATCTCTCGCGCCGCGCCGTTGTGAATGTTTTAATTCCCACGCGCAACACGTGAATTGAATTATATAAATTCTCCTCCTCCGCACTGATCCAGTCCAAGATAATAAATCTGCTGCTGCGAACCAACACAATGCAGCTTAACAGGACTTGGCCAAGAGCATAAAAAATAGATACACAGGTCAGGGCTCGGCGCTCTTTGTTCTTGACACGGACGTCGAACATATGCAACCCGCCATAATCTATATCCTGCACTCTGACGCAATTAAGTGTGTTCGCTCGCTCGCCTTTTTCGTACCACACGCCGCTCTCGATTTCATTTTCCCAGAGCTGATTCATCGTCTGCCTCCTTTGGGCACCTCGAAATTCCTTAAACAAAATCGAAAGCGGATTTGCAAAATGCAGGGCAGGTGCTTATTCAGGATGGTGACGTTTCCTGTTGCAGTATTTGAAGGTATGAGAAATAATTTACATAAAACCTCAAAATAAATTCTTTAAATAATATAATTTTTACAATTTAATTTTATTTTTCAAATTTCCTTTTTTCCAGCAAAAATTACAAAAAAAAAATTGCAGCCTTCATTTTTTTAAATATAAAAATTGTAATTTTTTCTTTTTTTACCTAAGCGTTTCTAGAAACCAAAAGAAATGTGAGAAGATGAAATTGATCAATTTAAATTTAACAAACACTTTTCTCTAAATATATTGGTTTTATTTTCAAATCTATTGAGTAAAACAAATTAAAATTCACAGACTATCTGCATATTATTTGTTTTCTGTAATTTCACAAAGATTACCATTGACTTATTAACTGTTATTTAATCCTAATCAGAGATCTGTTTAAAACTATAATTTTAACTTTTGCAAGTTTATCAAATTCAATGCAACTAATTTTTTATCATTTCAAATGAAAAGAAAATAATTTTGAATTTTTACACCGTATGGATATTTTACCAACTTGAGTGCTTTTGCAGACAGATATTATCATTTTGTTTTTCGTGTACATGCTCGAATTTCTCCGAGCATGTCGTGCTTCATTTGGAGACACGCCGGAAATGCGTTGGTGCGTTCATAAATTTTAGAAAATTGCGGTTTGTCTTGGGTATAAAAATAAAAAAACAAAGGCTCTCATCCTGTACGCACGACTCTCCACGCGATTATTTTTGTTTCCTTTTCGCCGCAAATTGAGCTGATCCAAATAAGCCGAGCTGCAATTTCGTGAAGACTCTAGTTTGAAATATTTTTAACTTTCCCGCGAGCGAGTTGTTGGAGTTTGTGTGCACTCGAGAGAAGGATTGAATATATAATTACTTTTCACCTTGCACTGCATGCATAATTTATACGCGTGCAGATCGATCGCGCTCTTACTTTCCTCGAGTTTCTTTTCAATTGTTGCGAACAACAAAGACATACTAAATATATAAATAATAGATCATAATTTGTGGTTTCATTAAACTATGATTGAATGAATCAAAATTTTAAAAAAGAAGTTAAATTAAATAAAATTCTATAAAATTTGTCTCAAGAAATTATTTACAAAACAAATAATAAAATTGCAACAAAATTTGAATTAAAAATCTGCTTTTAAAAATGGAAATTAATAAAATCTAAATAAATATCCTTTTATTCTAATAAATGACATTTTTTACTTTTGAATATTGATGAATTTGCTCTACAGTTGCGAGAGATGGAAATGAAAGTGAAGATCAAGTTTAGGGCGAAAGCTGGCGATTTTTTCCTTTTTTTTTATTGGCCCCTCTTTTGCGAATCGCACAACTGACCGCGAGTCAAGTCTAGCGTAGGGTTGTTGCTCTATTAGCCGAGAGATAGAGAGAGAGAGAGAAAACTAGTCCGATAGAAAGTGGATTATGTGCTGCTGCTTTCCTTATGAGAATCGCTCGTTACATCATCTCGTTATAATTCGTCCCGAGACGCGACGACCAGAGGCACCGCGATTCTTTCTTAATGGGATATGCCGGCCGCGCCTCGCGATCGCGGAAATCGAGAGAGCTGGACCCGTTTGTCTCTCTTGTTCACAATTACGAACACCTTTGTTCGCGCGCGACAACTTTCATCCTACTTGCATAATCGATTCGGCAACACCAAATTAACAATCATTGTTTTGAGAAGAGAAGTAAATAAATAACAGCTTATTCAGTGACTTTATTTCTGGTTACACAATTGAATTGAATTATTCTATACCTTTTGTTGAAAATTAAGCATTTATTATAAAAAAAAGTATTATATAAAATCTAAATAATTAAAATCAATTAATAAAATATTTAATTCTTGTTTTGAGAGATACACTCCAAATTTCAAATCTTACAAATCCAATTGTAAATTTTATCAAATGGTATTAAACAGTATAGATTTATATAAAAATAATAATAATTATTACAAAAAATTACTTAAAACTTCAATTTTTGGAATTGTTCAAGCGATCAAAACTCTGCATATTTATTGAAAAACGTTATACAAGAAATATCAAATTTACCTCTGATTTTTCATTTTGGTAATGTTTCAATAATAATCAATATCAATAAGAAATCAACGATGTACAATGTATCTAGCTTTCAACGAAATCCTAAAGATGACGTTGAAAATCTGTGCTTAAATTTGATTTTAAAAACAAATTTAGATCATAATAACTATTCAAAGGAGAAAGTAATGCTTTAATTAAATTTATTAGTGTTATATTATAGGAAATAATTTAATCAGTTAAATTTAAATAAGAAAATTAATAAATGAATTAAAAATTTAAAAAAATATTATTCAATAAAAATTATATTTAGAAAATTTGATTAAAAGTTATAAATTTTAAACAACCGGTTTTAATTAATTATCTTTCAATCTATTCCGGAAACGCGTGCTCGTCTCTCTGCTGAAAATGGAGATTAATGACCATCGTGCTAACAATCGCAATTAGCATAATGTGGTGATAATCTTGTCCGCGTCTGAGTGAGGCAGAAAGCGAAAAGTAATTGTGCGTTTTTCAACTGGAAATGCGGAATTCAGAGATGCATTCAAACGATGCTCGCCTCGTTTGCCTAATTAATTAAACTAAAGGCGTTTTTCGTACTTTCTCGCGCCGCGCGTCCAACAGTAATTTCCATTTAAATGCTGCAGAGAAATAGAGTGCGAATATCAGCAGGTGTTTCTCTCCTTCACGTTTTATTAGTGCACCAGCTTTTCACGGCCAAGACTTATGCGATTGAATCTTAATAGGCGCGAGAGAGAATCTGAAAGTATGGTGCTCTACCATCATCTGCAATTTCATATCTCTCTCGTCTCGTTTTCTACTTTTGCACAATATTTCATTTGCCAGATCATGTTTCAGCAGAAAAAAAAAACGCCGGTGCACAAGAAGGGAGCAGAGAAGCACCTGTTGTGAAAACCAAATCTTGTCTCCTTGAAATATCAAATTGAGCACACTTTTTAAATTCGGCGGATATAAATTATCATAAAATTAATTTGGAAATGTTAAAATGAAAATTGAATGTTGTTCTGGAAAATATAAATTTTTTCTTTAAATTTAAAGACTATTTAAATATTATGGTTACAAAAATATCACCTTTTTCTGTGTGTGTGTGTTTTTTTTTTAACTTTTAGTTGAACTTGGCTATTGAATCTCTAGCGCCATGAGTACTTATAATTTGCAAATTAAAAATTGCTTGAAAATAATTTATTTAATCTAATATAATTGAAGGAAGTGTTTTAAGTTAATTGTTTTTATTTCCTATAGTGGGATTAATGTTAGTTATAATATTTAATTTTAATATTTAAATAAAATAAAACCGGCCAACCTTCAAGAAATTGAATAAATCATTTGATTACATGTTTGCGAGAGATGGAAGAATAAAAATGTATACTTTCCAATTCTACAATTTCAATTTGAGGCCTAAATAGATTTAATTTAATTTTTTTCCCATATTTTTCATAGTCGTCTTGGCGAGTGGTTTGCGGTCGGACCAGTTTTTGAGTACAAATTGTGCGAATCAAATGCCCATTATTCATTATTACGTAAAAAGTACACACGCCGCTTTGGATTTTCATAGAAAGACACAATCTTGCTGCTCTCGTCTCGGAGCAGAGAGGCCCAGTTTCTCTTTTTACACGCACTTGGCAAACGCGAATTTCGCGCTCGAGATTTATTGTTCGGTTTTAGCGGTCGTTAAAGTTCAGCGGAGAGGAATTCTGCCTGAATAAAAATCGCATCCTCATAGCAGAGCAATTAATTCATTAGCGAGAAAAGGTCGGGCGGGATCAAAAGGTCAGTTGTGCAAATGGCTCGGGTCGGTCTCTCTCACTCACTCTTGCAACCGCGGCTCATATTTTATTAGTCATCTAATAATAAACAGATCTCTCTGATCGGCTTCCGACTACCTGAAACGGCGGCGAAAGCGCTGGACGAGCACCTTGTACACACACACAAGTATGGCTGACCGAGCCCACCGGCTTTAATTGTATCGCACGCGCTGCTCTGACCAACAAGGGTGACGCAATCGAATTCCCCACATGCGTCCGGTTTTTTGCGCAGGAAAATAAACAAAATTACTCTTGTTAGCACAGCAATTTCACTGTGTTTTACAAAGTAACAGCTTTTAAATTTCATTGTAATTATTGTTTTACTTTCATTAAATATAAATATTAAATTATTTATTTATTCATTTAAATATTTAATATTTTGAAAACTTTGAATGACTTTCTTGAAAAAGTTTGACATATTTACAAGTTGCACGGAATATGCAATTTTAAACAAAAATCAACCATAGTCAACATGAATTTTCCATCAATCTTATCATCACAACAATTTTTCTTTTTTTTCTGGCACTTCTGAAACAAATTAATTTTTTTAGTTTATAACATTTTGTTTAGAATTTAGCACTTTATTTTGGTTTTTAACCCAAATTTTTCAGATTACTTTGCAATTAATTTTCCAAAATATTGATAAGTGCTTCTGCAAAATGAAAATAAAATTTACTTGTTTAGCGTCAAATCGACTTATTGATTCAAATTGCGAGTGTAAAAAAAATACATTTTCCAGCTTTATTTAGAAGAGCTATAAAATTATTATTATTATTTTTTTGCATATTTCAATCATGTTCAAACTTGAAACCTAAAATTTTACTTATTATTAATCAAATGGTCTCACTAATATCCTCACTCTGAATTCTTTTCACATTTTGTTCCAATATTTAACTGCTGACGTGTACTTAGTGACTTTGACAGTTAATGAGTAACAACAATTAATGTTGAAGCAATAAATTCTCTCTCGCATTTTTCCCCAACGGGAGCACCAGTTGAGAAATTTCGCCGAGTTGTCGTTTGTTAATTTTATTGCGGGAAGCGGAAAACCAGAGAGCGCGCCTTTGAACGTCCCGAACAAAATACCGATGATCAATTACACTATACTTGTGTATGTACCTTTGAACGGAGAAAATGCAAAGAGCTGCACCTGACCGGGCGGGCTCGGATTATCTCAGTCAGAGCTGCAATTGCGCAACGCCGGCCTAGATTCGTCGCAGGAAGAAAGCAGCAGCCGACGGTGGCCCATTCGGGCACAGAGCGAATATTGGCGAAACTGCCCAAAGGCCACGTGCACCACCACTGTCAGGAAGCAAGCGGATTAAAACGCAAACGCTTGTTTGTTGATTTTATTGCGCCTATTTGTACAATACACAGATCAATTCTCTTACAAATTCTATTGTTTCTTATCGCCGAGACCTGCTGGCTTTTGATTCAACAATGAAATAAATCTGAAAGGATCACACCAGAAATTATTTATTTTGTATTTCAAAATTATTCATAAATGCTTGTCGCACATTAAAAAATGTGCTGGTGCGTGCCTTTATAAGTAATTTACTACCCGCATTAATAAAAACTAATTCATTATTTTTTCTTTTAACAAAATCATAAAAGGAAAACAAAGCTACTTTTTATTGAATATGTTAACAGACAAATCCGCCGGCCTACCCCTTCCAGGGGGTAGGGGTGGTCTGATGCGGTCAGCTATGGCGTTGAGGATGGGTCTCTGGGGCGACGAGGTTCTGACGGTGAAAGGGGCTGATCCGCCCCTCGCGTTGAATGGGTTGGCTGGTGGCGTGTATCTTGCTGATCTGGGGATGGGGTTGATCGCCTGGTAGGTGCTGGGGTCGGCGAACGGAATGGCGATGGTCACAGGGATGTGGTGCGTCACCAATTGGGTTTGGTAGTTGCCAGGGTAGTACTGGAAGAACGGCTGAGGCGGTGTTGGCTGTTGTTGGGGTCTGTAGTAGGGTTGTTGGTTGTAGTACTGCTGTTGTTGTTGCTGCTGCTGCTGCTGAGGATAGGGGTAGTTTTGGTATTGGGGGTAGTTGTTTTGATAAATCTGCTGATTTGGAATGAACAGTTGCTGCTGAGGGTTGCCCGTGATGAAGGGTTTGTTCCGGTCAGGGGTCACGTAGTTCATCAGCCGATTTCCAATGTTGGTCATTGGACGGAAACCGCCGAAGGCTATGCTAGGGTTGCTGAAGGTCTGCTGAGAAGGGCGGTTGACGATTCGTCCTTCAACGGGGGCGGCGTTGCTAGACTGGCTGCTGTCAGAAACCGCCCCCTGGCGAGCAATCCTCTTCACTCCGCTTGGCCCGTAGATGAACTTCTTGACCTCTGGAAGGTCAAAGGAGCCTCCTCGGTGCTCCATCTTGCCACCATTTTCCTCGTCGAACCGTTTCTTCTTCTTGAACTCTGCAATCACGTTCTCCACGTGTTTGATGACGCTCTCGACCGTGTTGGTCACCTGTTTCTCGTCGTGCAGACGTACCACTTCTGGTTGCCGCTTGTTCCGGTTGACGGACACCTCATGCTTTTCCTCCGGCATGGGTTTGTCCAGAAAACGGTCGTTGATCCGCTTGTTGGTGCTCACCTCGTTGTTTCCGAACACGATTTTTTCCTCCCATGGTGACTCTGTGATGGAACTTGAACTATTGTTATTGGTACTAGTATTATTACTAGAAGGGTTTGTTGACGTCACAGGGGTGGCTTTCTTCAAGGAGCTCAGCGGGATGTAGCCGCTGGTGCCGGAGATGAGCAGCACGTAAGACACTAGCGCCAGCTGAAATTTTAGAAATATAGTTTTGTTCTTGCAACACAAAGAGGACGAAATTTGTGCCCAAATTTATTGTTAAATACTTAAAATGTAGACGTTAAAAATTGAAAAAATATTTTAAAACTGGAAATAAAAAATAAAATAACTGGTATGAATGAAACATATTTTTGAAATAAAATAAAGTAGCCACACGTCACCATGAATGAGAATATTTCAATCAACCTAAAGAATTAAAGCGTAAAATATGTCTGGATTGGTTTCTCAATTTTCTTGAGTTATTGGAAGAACTATTTTTATTGGATTTAATGAATTTATGGATGATGTATTTGAGCATGGAATTCTTGATAATAAATATTTTGAAACTAAAATAGCGTTATAAACTTTACCTGCATTTTTGTAGTTTTGTCACCAATGTCGCGTGGATGCTGCTCGTGTCAAATCTGCAAGGCAAATGAGTGTGAGATGAGCCAAGATTCACCAAACATTTTTTACTCCCCGCAACAAAAGTGATACTTTTTTTCTCATTGTGACAATAATTTCGCAAGTGTCTCTGGAAAGTAAAAGTATAGCGACCGCGGTGTACAAATAATTAGAACACAAAACAGTGATGGGAATCCACCGGCTAATTATTTTTTCCATTTCAGTGGAGAACGGCTTTGTGTTAAAGCAGCCGAAAATTCCGAGTCGAGCGCGGAAGCGCCGCATCTCGCACTTGGGCTAATTATTCATTCGTGTAAATTAGCTGCGACGCTTAAGCAACTGATGGGAACCCATTTTTCTCTTCTAGGAGCAAGATAATAGAGAATCCTAGTTGCGCGACGGGAAAGTTAACTTTTTTCAATTGCAAATTTCACGTGACATGTGCGAAATTGTCGCGTGAGTGGCACTTGTTTACTTGCAAGAAAAAATTATAAAAAAACCCGTAATTTGTTGGCGTTAATTGAGCTAATTTCATGGCGAAATTACATTTGATGTAATTATGATTTCAAATTGCGTTAACTTGCCACGTATTATTTGCAGTCTCTCGCCTTTACAAAATATCCTTTAAGCAACTCTTAAGTATGCAACCAGTGGTACTTTAATACAAATCAAGTTGCATAAGTGCTACTAATCAGCAGTTCATGATGATAATAAACAAATTAAAATCATATAATAAAATATACTCTGAAGAAGAATATAAATAATATAAATGAAATATATACTATTAAATACAAAATAAAGAATATAAACATTATGTAATTTTCAATACAACGTATTTAGTAATATTTTTAAATTAATATTGTTAGCTTTTTGCATTTAATTTTATTTTCAATATCAGTTGATTAAAGCTAATCAAGCTATTCAGATCGCGTAAGAAATTAGTTTTCTTCACCGAAGGTTCTCGATTAAATTTTATAATAATTCATTTAAATATATCATCATAATAGTTACAGTACAGAAAAAAGAATGAAGCTTATTTCTCATATGCATAATTTTAAATACAATTTTGTCACTTTTTCACGCCTTTTGTTTAAATTGATATGATTATGCTAAATATCCTTATGAATTTGCGAAAACTACCATAAAATTGATCAAATTATCAAAAGAATTTTAACGTGGATTCAGAACTTCTAGACTCTTCACTTATTAAGGGTGATTGAAGAGGGTCAATGAAAAAGTTTAAATTATATAAGACACACAAATTTTTTTTTATTTTCGTCAATGTACAACTATTCATTTTCATTCCTTGCTCTCTGCTTTCCTTGGAGAAAAACAAACAAATAAAAAAATTAGCATAACTCTCACTGAAATAATCACTCGTGTGCGAATATCGTTGACGCACACGTTGAAATTTCTGCGAATCACGCAATCCCGAGTGACTCTATAGGACAATATATGAAAACTTGAGATACATATAATATAAATGGATGATAAAATTGGGTACAAATCGGAATTGGCACTCGTTTTCTTTTCCTCTCGGAAAGTGTTCTAGCCCACCAAGTCCCAACATCTAGAAACCACTGAAAGTGATGTCGTGCAGCACGTGTCCGCCCTTGGGCAGTGCGTAGTCCTTGGCCAGCTGGTCAAGCACGCTGCCTCCGGCGGGGAACGCCCTGGCACGGGGTGGCTGCTGCTGAGGGAGGCTGCGGGCCGGAGCAGGAGCGGGTTGGAAGTGAGTGGGAGCAGGAGCGGCCTGCTGTTGGTACGCCTGAGGGTTGGGCTGGAAGAACTGCTGCTGGGGTGGCTGGGCAGCGACCTGGCGAGCGGGAGCGGCCTGCTGCTGGAACTGCTGCGGTTGGTAGTACTGCTGCTGGGGCTGCAGAGGAGCGGGAGCGGCTCCCGCTACCGGAACTCTGCGAGCGGGAGTGGGACCGGCCCTGGGAGCCTCAGCCACACGTCCGGCGGGAGCGGCTCCTGGGATCTGAGCCCTGGGAGGGAGGGGAGCGGCGCCGGCGACCTGGATGCGGCGGGGAGGGACGGGAGCGCGCTCCTGAGACTCAACAACCTGGTATTGCTGCTGCTGGGGTCGCTGCTGAAAGTTGATCTGCTGATTGTAGGCACCGCCCGAAGGTTGAGGGGCGGCAGCGAACTGTTGCTGAGGGGCGGGAGGGTTGTATTGCTGAACGGGAGCAGCGGGAGCGGGTTGGTAGGCGACGATGGGTTGTTGCTGGAGAACGGGACGGGGCTGCTTGGGCTTCTTGGGCCTGGGGGCGGCGGGACGGGGGACGTACTGCTGCTGCTCTTCCTCTTCTTCAACCTGGCTCTCGTCGATCAGGGTTGGAGGGGCGACGGTGATGCCCTCGCCAACCGGCTGGAATCCGTAACGGTCGGCGCCGTACTCAACGGTGCGCACCTTGCCGGTGTCGTCAACAAAGCCGTACTTGCCCTTGACGGCGCCGTCGGCAAACTTGGTCTCAATCTTGAAGGTGCCGTCGGCGCCCTCGAAGCCGTAGGTGTAGGAACCGTCATCGTTGTGCCTAAAAATGGAAATATATCATGAGCTAAATTTTTTTTTTTTTTAAATTAAATATAAATTTCAATTTTTGAATACATTGAAAAGTGGTGAAAACTTAAACCATTTCCAGCAAAAAAAAAAAAAAAAAAAAAAAAGGGAATCATTGCTCAATTTATAAATAATTTTGTAATAATAGGTAATTTACAATATCCTGACCGTGCTCGACTATGAGAGACAAGATAAATCTGCCACGGTTAAATTGTTTTGGCGCTAAATAGTGAATCTTATATTAAACCTACTTCTCTTTTGATGCTTAAGAGCGAAAAATTTTGATCGCGATTTTGAGTCATGAAATAAGTAATTTCAAGCTCTAAATATTAAAAAAAAAAAAATATGGAGAAGGTACATGATTTGAACGATCGAAGTAAAAAATTTTTTTAATTACTTGTTGATCTGCTTGAGAATAGGAACAGGGGTGGGTTTGGGAGTGGCCGGTTGTTGGACTCCAAAGGGTCTGCCAACGGCCCTGGGGGCGGCTCTGGGGGCGGCAGGCTGCTCAGCGTAGTCCGCGTAGTCGTACTCCTGCTGCTGCTGCGCCGAGGCGCACGCGGCCGACAACAATAACAACGCCAAAACCTGTCAACAAGATTACAAACACATTGAGAAAAAAAAGGTGCTTTAAAATATTTTTTTTCAACAGTGGTCGGCAGGTCACGATTTTCGAGGCCGTCTCTATCGCTTTATTTTGGCAAAGGGAACCACGCCCGAGAGCAGAGGATCGAGGCCAAGAGCATTTTATTTATTTGGGTATCGCGGGGACCTAATTATTGAGTTCGCGGCACCAGAATTTGCATGGAAATAACGCTAGTCGAAATTCGCGATCGGGTCGAGGCGTTCAGCTCTTGTGGGAGCAAAAAGTAGTGAAAGGAACGTGCCAGTTGTAAAAAGACTTTTTGCACTTTGCCGAGGCTCGCACACAGTTTTATTGCGGCGCGCGATAATTACGCAACGAAATCGTGCCGAGTCAAGCTGAAAATCTTGTAATCAGTTTGTGCATTGCTCGCAGCAAATCGAGAGGCTAAATATTTGCTCCTAATTTCAAATTTTTATTCAACATATTATTATATTCACTTTCATTTTAGACCTTTGGAATGAATTTCAATTAAAGCAAAACTTTGATGACGAGATATCTTTGTTGATATCTTTCTTAATTGGAGCTCATTTGTGATTGACACATTAAGGAGAAGCTGAAATTAATCTTAAGAACTGAAATAATTAGATTCTTTTATTATTATTTATTCTTCTCGGTCAATACAAATATTTAAAATTGGAAAAAAGAGAAGAAAGGGTTTACAACTAGCAGATGTCTGCTAAAACGCCCGACATCAAAAGAGACACGGCCGCCGCGGTAAACCCACACTATTGAAAAAAAAAGAACGATTTCTAAATGATTTTTTTATTTAATAACTAAAGATGTAGCCCAGAACGATACCTTAAATCACTCCTCTAAATTGGCAAAAATAAAGTCTTAAGGGATTCGGAAAAAAGTTCCTCATAGTGAAATTTTCTATGTTTAACACCAAACAATAAAAAATAAACAATGTATTTTCATGAAAAGTCCTACTCTTATTGGAGAACAATTTGAGTGAAATTGAAAGTTTCCTCTTTTGGTCATAATGTGATAAAAAACGAACACGTTATTTTGTTCCGCCACGCTGGGTAATTGTCTCCCTTACTGAACTGATTTCCTCATTGTTGTCACGTTCACCGATTGGATTCGCCTTGAAAAAGCGCACAGGTGAGAGCGGCAGAAAAACACGCCCAACGCGTGTAGATTTCCAACCCTGTGCTTGGGCGTGGATGCGAAATTCACTTCTTTTTTCAACTTCTTGACCCCGCGTGTTCAACCAAGGTCAGCTGGTGACCAAACAAACAGGTCTGAGAAAAGCAGGTCAAAATCAACCTGCGCTGCTCGTGAGAAAAAAAGAGTTGATCTGCAAAAATTTCTAACGTGCGTGTAATTTTGATTCGCGCCGCAGAAAGCGTTTGTCACGACTAATCCTATCAGAGGCAACACTTTAGGGTCAGATGTTATCAACGTAGGAAGTAAAATTATATTCCGAAGAGTGTTTTGTTGTGTTCATGTTTTGTGGTACAGCAGTAGCTTTCCCTTTGTTACAAGACATGACATCTTGCGAGTGATTTATATTTTATATTGATTTTAAAATATAAAAATTATAAAATTCAGCTCTTTTTTTTTTAAAAAAAGTTAATTTAATTATAAAGCATAAAATGAATTAATTAGCGAAAAAGATAAGAAGAATAAATAGTTCAGTTTTAATCGAGAAGATTTTGAATAAAATTCAAAGGGAATCAATTTACTGTATGAAAAGGAAATTTAAAAATTAACATCTTTTTAACTTCTGCCGACTTCTGCATTAAGGAACAAAATAAATTATGATTAAAGGAAGTCTCAGCTTTGCATGTTTCCTTATTTGTTGAAATATTTGAAATTTTTAGCACAACATTTCGTTTAATTTTTGAAATTTTTTTTAAACTTCAAAAATGAAAATTGAGTTGGTTTCTAATTGATGGAAATGCGAGATATTGGAGGAGATTCTGTAACTCACCGGTCTCATGTTGCAGCGGCGGCTGGACTATAGGCCGGTGCCAGACTTGGAGCGCGGCTTTTATCAGAGGAAAGTGCGGCTGCGGCCCAAGAGGGGGTGGGGGTGCACGACCGTCGCCTGGGTGGAGCGCTCGATCCGAACTCGCCATCAACACGCCCGACAAACTTGTGCCGATTTGAACACTCAAACCAAGTTAAATTTCTTTTGTCTCACTCAATTTCTCAAAATCGAATTTCGAAAGAAAAATAAATGATGTTTTTGATCCAAGAAAAGTATAAAAATAAATAAAAAAAAAATGATTTGATTTCACTTTTTGAAATCAAACAGTCCTAGGAGGGACACGCCCTCATGGATAGACCTTTTGCGTCACCGCTTCAAATTCTTTTTATTGTTGGCAGCAAATTTCTCTTTTTTTAATATTGCACGAATATTTTTATTTAATTTTGAAAAATAACAATGGTTTGAACAATGAAAAAATTTATTTTCAATCCAAATTATTTGAGTAATTTTTTTATAAAATTATATTTCTAAGTTTATGAGATTCTTAAGTAATTTCGCACCTTTGGCCAAGCCGCGGTTTTCTCGCGATGAACTTTAGCCGCAATTGGTCGTAAATCGATTTGGTAAATGAGAATTTGTTATTGGTAGTGCGTGCGTTGATCTCAACGACGGAGCCGCCAGTTGCGTAATCCGTTCGCTGCTCTAATAATTGGGATGCGGGAGCAAGCACCGCTTTGATTTCTAATGCTGTGCCCGCCGACAATTATTTCAGAGCCGACTGGAAATTCAACTAGTCCCGTTTAAGACGTCTCGCTTTTCGCAATGCATGGAGACTATTCGAACCAATGCACTGCTTATATAAATTTATTTGCGTAATTCTTAATACAAATCAATCAACAGGTTGCTTCACAGCTCTAAAAATGAGCGAGCGGTCAGTTAAAGACGATTTTTGATAATTATATTCGTATTGAATAAAAAAGATTACTGGATAAGTTTGGTTTTATTGCTGAAAAATAAAAATTAGTTTTTATAATTTTATTTATATATTTTTGCCAGGAATAACAAAAGATTGTGATTTATAACGTTCAAATACTGAAAATTTTCATTCAATCAATTAATATATTTACCAGCATAAAACATATTTCAGCTTACAATTAGTGAATTATAACAAGGTCCGCTCGTCAGAAAATTTCGATTGTTGTCGAGCTCTCTGATTGGGTACAACTTTTCTTGTACCCAATCAGAGAGCTCAAACAACAATCAAATCTTTTTTCATTGTTGCTGATGCGCGGACCTTGAATTATAAGAAACAAAAAACATGAATTTTTTCAAATTAAATAATTGTTTTTTTTTCTAATTTATTTATTTAAATTATTATTATTTTATTTTTTATTCTTCTCAGTCAATATAAAATTTTAAATTGGGGAAAAAAAGAGAAGAAAGGGTTTACAACTAGCAGATGTCTGCTAAAACGCCCGACATCAAAAGAGACACGGCCGCCGGGTTAAACCCATAGTGATACTAAAAAGAAGTTCAAATAATTTCACAAACCATAGAGCTATAAAATTACAACCTAAAATTTCAATTGAAAGCTATAGTTAATTTTTGAGTTGTAATTAATTTTTTATGTAAATTTCCACTTTGTAGAAACTTGAATTTATAATTTTGATTAATATCATTCCAATTTCTCTAATTGTGCGTGCGTGTTGCGCATAATTGTTTCCCTTCAGGTCCAATTAGACAGCAACTGGGGTGCAAAACCAACGATGATATCATAATTCACAATAACACACTTTATATTCGCATAACTAAACCGGAGGTGTTCAATTTCACTCGGTGACTTTGATTGTCGTACGTGTTTGCTTTTACTCGAGTGTCTCGCTCGAGCGCGCTCGCGTCTCTTTATGAAAATATGCTTATATTATTTGCATGGCGGGAAACAATATTAATAAAAAGACCCCCGCGAAGGGCAGTAGTGCGTGTCCGATTTATTTCCTGGTCAAAAGTGCATACTTGGGGAATTTTTCTCTCGCAGGGCGTGGAGCGAATTTTCTCCACCTTCGATCCAATCAAGTCTGGTATAAAATTTCTTTTTGTCGCGATTCTTTGAAATTCACAGCCGGCCGCTGGGCTCTGTATTGTTCCCTTTTGTTGGAGACGAGGAATGCGGACCCCAACCTTGGAAAAGACGCGAAAGGAAAATTATTATTAAAAGCGAGTATCGTCGGCTCCGATTGTCTTGGCGAAAGGACAAAAGGGAGAAGTTTTGTTGCATGGGAAGTGGAATTCCCGTGAGTTTATGCAACCGGCAAAACTTTCCTTTTCGGCAGGCTGCAGAATCGCAAGCCGGATAACTTTCCAATTGACATTGAACTCGTTTTCAAAAGATATCATCTATAATGCATTGAATTTCTTTCAAATCTAAATTCAAGCAGGATTAAATGCAAATTAATATTGTTTCATTTAAGGTAAAAAAATTTAATTTACGAAGTATTGTAGTTTCAACCCTGCCCTTTTGAAACAATTCTATTTTATTAAATTTAGAAAACCTTTCTTCATTTGTTAATTTGATTCAGTTACATCAAAATATATTATACCGTAAAAAACTACTGAAATTGTATTTTTAACTCTTCATGATTAAATTAAATGCGATTTTCAATGAACAAGATAATTCAAGCAAAGCGCCTATTTATTGTTGCTGCTCAAAGGAGAGCAAAGGATATAAAAAAGTCATCAACCTTGAATAGCTATATAATAATCAGCTTTCTGAAATAGCTTAGTATTGGTAATTTATTGTTAATAGTCGTCTATGTAGTTTTTCTTGGAATGAAATCGATTGCCTTGTGGATATATTTTTCTTGAAAAAATATTTTGAGCAATTTTAGAAAGAAGATGCAGGCCAGTATGCAAGATAAAATCTATCATAAGCTGTTTTTGTCACAAAGTTGTTAATTTTTAGTTCTTAAATAAAGCAAAAATAGGCCTAAATAGCTGAAATATTCATTTCATTTTTAACGTTTTAATATTGTTAAATTAATTAAAACAACAGAAACGCTGTAAAAACTTTTTGTAATATGCATTTTTTCCCTCTTATTCGTAAATAAGGTGACATATTGTATTGTTTTGAATTTGCTATAATGCATATCTGGGCAGAAAATTGCCTTTTGTGATCAATCATCATAATTTCCAAGGTTTGTCGCAGCGGCCGAATCTCTTTTGATGTTATTGGCGTGTTTTAGCAGATATCTGCAAGTCGTCTCAATCTTATTTTAAAAATTTTATATCAATCAAATAGAATCAATAGCAATTATTTATATATTGTTCATATTGTTTAATACGAATATTTAAATGGTAGCCGTTTTTAGTCAATTATTTGCCTGAAATCTATATATAGTTCAAAAGAAAAAAATTATTTTGAAATTTGACAGGAAAATCTGAGAAAATCAAAGAATATCTTTGTAACATTTTATCGTAGATTCTAAGTTTTTTATTTTTTTCCCTATATTTTTCCAAATTCACAACATATATTTTAGAAAGCATCCATCATTTTATTCTGAAATATATAATTGAAATATTTTGCACCAATATTTTGGCGTCATTTTTCTCCATTTTTATTTAACATCAGTTTGTAAAAATAATTTATTTAATCTTAAACTGTTTCACAAGCAGAAACATCCCAATATCTTCTCAACCCCACCCTTGAGCTAATGAAAATCGGACGCATTATTAAATATTCGGAAGCGGGTCGCCTTGAAAATGCGCGGTGAACCAGATTTTTTCTTGGCCGCACTTAGCGCGGCCTTGCCCAGGGCCAAAAAACAAGCCCAGCCCGAGCGGACGCTTCCTGTCTCTTTTGGCCAAACACTTCCTCCTTCGCGCGACCTGACACCTGACCATTTTATTAATCGCGAGGAGTGACCGAGATGCTGCAAGAAGAAAGCGAAAGTAGAGTAGTATGTACTCCTCCTACTTTATGCACTTGCAAAACTGCGAAACTTGAGATGACGAGAGATGCACTCACTTTTGCACAAGTACCGTTTTATCTTGCGATGTTTTAATTGCTCATTTATCATTTTAATTAAATTTTATTCAGCGAAAACTTACATGTAGGCCGGTTAAGTTTTAATTTAACACATCAGAAATTCATTTGCTATTTCATAAATTGGATTTCGCACTTTCCCTGGCATAACTTAATTCCCAAAAGGGAAAAAACAAGTCAATCATCAATCTAGTTTATTTTTGATATTTTTATTCAATGATTTGATTAGAAAAAAATGTTCGAAAATAATTGAAATGCAACAAATTGAAAGGAAATTTAATTTATAAGTTAATCCACTAAATGTTTGCTTTTTAAAATATTTATGTTTAATAAAAATTGTATTAACGATTTCAAACCAATTTAATTTAATAGTTAATTATATATGAAAAAACTGGATAGAAAAGGTCATTCTCCTATAAAAACGGTTCCAACAAGGCCGTTGTGCAACAATTTCTCGGTCTGCAGACGCCCAAAATTTTTGTGAGGTGGGTCATCTGGGGGCTGACCTCACTCACGGCATGCTAATTAGCAATGCGTTTGTTCATCACACTCGAGATGCACGTGGGTCGCGCGGGGTGGGAGGGATGCGTGGCGAGGTTTCCGGTCCACTTGACGCGCGCAGGGTAGGAAGGAGTCGCCCCGTATATAAAAGAGCAGGTCCCCTCCGCGGGCGCTTGCTTGCTCTCCAATCCCCGCACGCAACAATGCGCATCGCAGCTCTCGTGAGTACTTTTTTGAATTATTTGTTACTTAAAAGTATCAAATTAAAAAGGGTGATTTGTTTTTTAATTTGATTAATGAAAGACGGTCAAACTGTTTAGGAAGTTGATTTTTATCTGAAGTGAATTAAACTGCCTCTCACTATAATTAAAAGAATTAAATTTAAAGCTTTATTCCTTTCATTTAATATGAATGAAGATTGATTGGATTTTGTCAATTTCACAATCAAGGAAAATGAGTAAACTTTCAATTTTAAAAATAGAGCAGATTTTATTGTGATCATTGAACCAAGTAAAAAGTTTCTAATTTCTATAGCAGTGAATTAGGAATAAAATTGAAATTTGATGGTGAATATTGTTTTGAAATTTTTTAAATGAATTATTTCTTGTAATAGTTATCAATATTATTTATTTTTACCAATTGAGAGAAAAATTAGAGGATATTATAAAATTAAAAAGTCACGGAAATTAAAAATAAATTAATTTATTTGTATCTTCTAATTTTTCTTTCTTATAAAATTTTTCCGTGAATGAAATTAAGATAATTGTTGGCAAGTTGCAATTAAAAGCCGTCGTCGAGCGCAAAAACGATTATCATCACCTTCGCACATATCTCGCGGCACGCAACCGGCAAGCGACGAAAAATTAATAAATCCAGTTTGTTTCGCCACTCACTTGACGTGACGCAACCGCGTTTAATTGCGGCACGTACTATAATTTTCTATCTATGTAAATCGATTCTTATGTCGGGCAGTCGCGTCTGTTGTTGTGACACAAGGAATCCGACCTGCTCCAAAGCCGGCCGGACACCAAATACGAGCAGAGAGAGTGAAAGCGATTAGCTAACACTTAGCACGCTTCGCTGCCTTTACTAGTTTTTTTCCTATAATGGTGACATTGACATTAAAATTTGTGTCAACTGTAACAATTTTTTCCACACTTGTCTCATTTCAATTAAAACTAAAATTTAGTTTAAAAAATAAAAAAAAAACTGAATTTTTTTTAACATCTAATAATTTCATTTGAATAAAGTTTGAAGAAGTTAACCATTAAAAAAGGATTTCACAGGATTACATGAATGTTTTTATAACGAAAACTATAAAACTTTAAGTTTCAAGAATCATGTGTGTCTCATTAGATTCCGATTCACTTTTTGCAATTGCTGCATTAAGAAGCTAGTCATAATTTCCAGCAACGACAAACCATAAGGGAAAATGAACTTTTGCACATTAATGTGGATTTGCATCGACTTTGAATTCTTTTATTTTTTAACTAAAATTTATAAAACTTTTTACTAAGTAAATCAATCATCCTATAGCTGAAGCCCAGCTCTAATACTTTGAATTTTGAAGATAGCTGAAAAGACATCTTACAATTGACATGCCAAATTGATCTATTTGAAACTTTTATTAAGCTTATCTAATTCTATGGAATATTTATTTTCCAAATTTTAAGTAACTGAAACAATGTTTCAATTCTTAAATTGTTGTGAAAAATCTTAAATTTGAATCTTACAATTAACTGGCACAATATATAATCAATTTAGTCCCTTTTTCAAGCAATTTTAAATTTACTCCATGATTAAAAGATATTTTTTGTTGTTAAAAGGTTTTCGCCAGTTTGGCGGCAGTGGCCGTGGGACAGCGCGCCGGTCTGGCGGCGCCGAGCACGACGCCGGTGCCCATCCTGAAGCAGATCAACCAACACAATGAGGACGGCTCGTACAGCTACGGCTACGAGGGCGCCGACGGCAGCTTCAAGATCGAGACCAAGTACCCGACCGGTGAGGTTTACGGCAAGTACGGCTACATCGACAGCAACGGCGAGAAGCGCGAAATCGAGTACGGCGCCACCAAGCGCGGCTTCGAGCCCGCCGGCACCGGCATCAACGTCCCCCCTGCAACCATCGGCGGCGACAACAACAACCAGGTATTACAGAGACCTCCTTTTCGACCTACATTTTGCACACGCACCCTTCTTAAGGTCACAATTCTTTAATTTATTTGGCCACAAAACCGGTTTTTCAAGGGACTTCCTGAACTATTTCAGGAGTGGAGTAAAAAAAATCAAGGAGTTCTAAAGACTTCTACAGATCAAGATCACTTTTAATTCTTTTTTTAAATTTAAATTCTTTTCTTTTTAACAATGATAACAAACTTTTATAATATAATCAAAATAAATTAAAATTTAATAATTAAAATAAATTATAAGTTAATTTTAATTATATTATTTCCTATTTTTAAAATATTAATTTATTTTTTACTTTTTATGCTTAAAATAATAATTTATAGTTTTATGTTTTTTTTTTTTTAATATTTAGATTATTTTTTTTTACTAAAATTTTCAAAATTTCCAGGCCTACAGCTCTGACGACTATGACGACGGTTCCTACCGTGAGGACCCTCGCATCTACAACGAGTACGAGCAGCAGTACAAGGGCAACAATGTCCAGCAGGTGCCCACCCCCGTCGTCCGCGCCCGCACCTACGCCCCCGCTGCCCCCGCCCCCGCGCCCAGGCAACCCCAGCAGCAAGTGTTCCAGCAGCAGAGGGCATTTGTCGCTCCTGCCCCCGTCAACCCCCACTTGAACCACAACCCCTTCGTGGGCCACCCCGCCGCCAATGTGAACCTCAACACCGGTTCCTACTCCCTCTCCTACTCGGGTTGATGGCCCCCTGATTGACGGGCTCCTCTGTGATCTCCCCTTCTCCCTTCCGCACCCCCTTCTGCAGCACCTCACACAACTCGACTCTGTCTGATTTCGGGACTTGAAGGTGCCTTTTTTACAATCATTGAAGTTAATTTTTATACATTTTGCTGTGGAATGATGTAAATAAACTTGATATTAAAACTAAAACCCCTACACAATGTTTTAAATATTTCTTTAAAATTATCATCAAATGGCGTTTTTCAGTCAAATAACAAATAAACGTGGACGCAAGGATAGGCATCCAGCGTGGCAAAAGAGTTTTTTGAAGTTGCATAATTAGAAGATTTTATCGTTTTATCTATGTTGTTTCACTAGCAGATGCACATTGATTGTCTTGATGGTCTGCAACTTACCCCTGCCTTTCTTTGTTGAAATTGGTGAAAAATGAGAAATATTAAATTTTAATTTTATTTGGTGCCTATTTTGATGGAATATTGTAGCAAACCGCTAGATCTTTACACTTCTTTAAATAATAGAGAGCAGCAGAATTTCGGAACTCTGCCTTGTTGATGGTCGCTGGTCGCTATTTCTTGGGATTTTGAATATTACATAATACAACCTTCATAGAGCTCCATAATATGAAAAATCAATTGATTCTTATGAATATTAATTGCGGGTAGTTGAGATTCCCCTAGGCGATTTGCGCTGCCGCAATTTGTTCCTTCAACTGAGACGCACTATGGTGGTTGTACCAGTGGTCGCACACTTAAGGAATTTTCAAGATTTATATTAAGTTTATTGAATGATATATTCAATTTTTGATGTTTTTAGCTATTATAATGGATAGAATACATCCTCAGGATACTATTAACAAGTTCAAATGATATGCAAATGCAACTAAGTGCTATTTATAGGCGGTTAAACAAAAAAGTAGCTGTTGTAGGTAATGTCGCACAATGGCACCGGCCCTCGCACACGTACGAGCCATTGGTCGCACACTGCTCGCCGAACGCTGCTTTTAGGCGTTTTAACGCAAATTGAGCCTTCTGCTCTGAATTTTGACTTGATTTTTTATAAAATAAAAAAATCTCAATGTTAGAAAGACTTAAAAGAGAGATTTATAACCATCTTGGTGCAATATATTCGCGTTTTAAGCCAATTTAATTTACATGATCGTATTAAAATTAAAAATAGTCTGAAATTGAAGCCAACATAATAAAGTAAAACAACAAATATTTGCTGGAAATTTTTTCAAAATTATATCATAATTTGGCAGGATTTATTCATTCTTCCGATCTTTCTGTGTTACCTAGGGAGCATATGCTATTTTCAAAATCTTGGTCTTTTCACTCAGATAGGACTATTATTAGGGCTAAATAAAGTTCAATAAAAAATGCGCTTTTTGTTACCGGTTGAAGAAACTTTTTCAACAGCCAAAAGCATGGCGCACGCCAAGGGGACTCAATCGCCATCAGCGGGATTTATTCATTCTTCCGATCTTTCTGTGTTAAGTAGGGAGCATATGCTATTTTCAAAATCTTGGTCTTTTCACTCAGATAGGACTATTATTAGGGCTAAATAAGTTCAATAAAAAATGCGCTTTTTGTTACCGGTTGAAGAAACTTTTTCAACAGCCAAAAGCATGGCGCACGCCAAGGGGACTCAATCGCCATCAGCGGGATTTATTCATTCTTCCGATCTTTCTGTGTTACCTAGGGTGCCAGAGGCGGTCGGTCCATTTATGTGTTACATGTGGCACATAAACTCTGATTTTCCGGGAAAGTAAATTTTTTTTCAATTCATGTTGGGTAATAATTTTTTTTAAAGTTTTTCGCAAAAAAACCGCGTCGCTCTATGATTTTTCTATCGCTCGCTGCACGAGAACCAATTTGCGCCGCCAGCGCCTCTAACGGCATGGGGTGTTAAACTTGCTCACAGGAGAGCTCCATAAAGGCGCATGGTGAAACACAAATTTGCCTACTTTCAGGCGCTAATGCGTTCCCTATGCTGGCCAATATGTGTTGGAAATCACCACATATTTCAATGTTTATTTTGTTTCGGCGGCGTGCGCGAGCTGATATCAGTGATTTCCGTCGCGTTTTCGGACTTTTGGGACTGGTTGAAGTCGGCTGATGATAATTTGAGGTAGGATTAGGACATTTGATGATGCCTTTATTCATTTTTCGTGAATTTAATCGTTCAATTCTTTAATAATTGTTGAAAAAGAGACTGAAAATCAGCGTCTCTTTTCTTGCATATCGTGATCGCGGGATATAAACAAGACCGTACAATGGGGCGGCTATTGAGTTTTAAAATTTTTGAAAGGGAGCTCGTCAGCTGTGAAAAATTACCAAATTATCTCTAGTATATTTCAAATATTTCCATTTTTAAAAACAAAAAATTGCATTAATGAAGCAAAATAAATAAAATTTCATCGTTTGAACTTTGCATTTTCATGCTGTTTAGTGTTAAAATATATTTTGATTATTTATAGATTGAATACAACAAGAAAAAGTTTTATCAATTAGAGGCTCCTTGGCGATACTAAATTTGAGCCCAGTCGGCGAGGAGCGAAATTGTTTTCAATTTGAGAAATACCTCTGCTGCCGCGGATCGAATGATGATCAAATTGAGGACGGCCGCCGCTTGCAATTTTCCAACTTCAGCGGTGTCGCCGGTGATAAGCGCTCTGGAAAAACTGTTCATCTTTGAAAAATTTGTTTTTAATTTTACGAAACCTAATTAAATTTATCCCTCAATGCAATGATACAAATTAAAACTCAAAATTTTCCTCGGCGTTGTGAAACAATTAAGGGTTTGCAAAATTCCATTTTTCTCATAAAATTTAAAATAGAAAAGTATAAACTTTAATATGATTTTTTAGAGAAAGGCACAGACTTTCTTTCCGCAATTGTAATTTTTGTGGTAAAATAATTTTTTCACATTTTAAAGAATGCTCAAAAATAATATTTTTTGACACGCTGATTTCAATGGCTATTTTGGAAAAAATCTTAAAAATTTATTTCTGACTTAAAAAATGAAATTTTATTTTTGAGCATTCTTTAAAATGTGAAAAAATTATTTTACTACAAAAATTACAATTGCGGAAAGAAAGTCCGAGCCTTTCTCTAAAAAAAAATCATATTAAAGTTTAAACTTTTTTATTTTAAATTTTATGAGAAAAATAGAACTTCGCAAACCTTAATTTTTTCACAACGCCGAGGAAAATTTTGAGTTTTAATTTATATCATTGCTAAGAGATAAATTTAATAAGGTTTTATTAAAACAAATTTTTCAAAAAGTTGAACATTTTTTCCAGAGCGCTTACCACCGGCAGCGCCTTTGAAGTTGGAAATTGGAAGCCGCTGCCTGCCGCAAGCGGCGGCCATCCTCAATTTGCTGGATGATTTTTTTTAGTCGTTTCAGACAAAATGAAATAAAAATATTTTTTATCTGCCGGCTGCAGCCATAAGTCATGGGCTGAGAATTATTTGGACAAAAAAACAATTTTAAAGAAAAAAACTAAGGTCAAAACATTTAGAATTAATTGGGATATTTTTTTCTACAAAACAATTAATTACTCCAAAATCCCATCATCATCATCAGCCGTGTTTTTAAGTTTTATTTAAATAAAACTTTATATTAGAATAGAATCAAATTATAAAAAAAATCTAATAAAAAATTTTTGAACTTGTGTTATTTTCAAAGAATAAGTAACATGCATTTAAAATTTTGTTCATCACAATAAATTGTAAATTTACGATAGCAAAATGCCCTGAAAATTGAAGCCAAATTTGCATATGTGAATTGAATTAATTAAGACAAAGAAAAAAGGCGACAAAAAAATTGAAATAAAATATACCCGAAATTTCTCAAAATGCCACGCCCCTTTTTGATTTTGGGCTGAACACATAAACCTTCTTCATGACCACCGACCGCCTCTGTAGGGTGCATATGCTATTTTCAAAATCTTGGTCTTTTCACTCAGATAGGACTATTATTAGGGCTAAATTAAGTTCAATAAAAAATGCGCTTTTTGTTACCGGTTGAAGAAACTTTTTCAACAGCCAAAAGCATGGCACACGCCAAGGGGACTCAATCGCCATCAGCGGGATTTATTCATTCTTCCGATCTTTCTGTGTTACCTAGGGAGCATATGCTATTTTCAAAATCTTGGTCTGTTCACTCAGATAGGACTATTATTAGGGCTAAATTAAGTTCAATAAAAAATGCGCTTTTTGTTACCGGTTGAAGAAACTTTTTCAACAGCCAAAAGCATGGCGCACGCCAAGGGGACTCAATCGCCATCAGCGGGATTTATTCATTCTTCCGATCTTTCTGTGTTACCTAGGGAGCATATGCTATTTTCAAAATCTTGGTCTTTTCACTCAGATAGGACTATTATTAGGGCTAAATAAAGTTCAATAAAAAATGCGCTTTTTGTTACCGGTTGAAGAAACTTTTTCAACAGCCAAAAGCATGGCGCACGCCAAGGGGACTCAATCGCCATCAGCGGGATTTTTTCATTCTTCCGATCTTTCTGTGTTACCTAGGGTGCATATGCTATTTTCAAAATCTTGGTCTTTTCACTCAGATAGGACTATTATTAGGGCTAAATTAAGTTCAATAAAAAATGCGCTTTTTATTACCGGTTGAAGAAACTTTTTCAACAGCCAAAAGCATGGCGCACGCCAAGGGGACTCAATCGCCATCAGCGGGATTTATTCATTCTTCCGATCTTTCTGTGTTACCTAGGGAGCATATGCTATTTTCAAAATCTTGGTCTTTTCACTCAGATAGGACTATTATTAGGGCTAAATAAAGTTCAATAAAAAATGCGCTTTTTGTTACCGGTTGAAGAAACTTTTTCAACAGCCAAAAGCATGGCGCACGCCAAGGGGACTCAATCGCCATCAGCGGGATTTATTCATTCTTCCGATCTTTCTGTGTTACCTAGGGGGCATATGCTATTTTCAAAATCTTGGTCTTTTCACTCAGATAGGACTATTATTAGGGCTAAATAAAGTTCAATAAAAATGCGCTTTTTGTTACCGGTTGAAGAAACTTTTTCAACAGCCAAAAGCATGGCGCACGCCAAGGGGACTCAATCGCCATCAGCGGGATTTATTCATTCTTCCGATCTTTCTGTGTTACCTAGGGTGCATATGCTATTTTCAAAATCTTGGTCTTTTCACTCAGATAGGACT